ACCAGCAGGTGCAAAATCTCTCTCTCTCTCTCTCTCTCTTTCACTCTGTCTCTTTCTGTATCTCAGCCTTTCAAATAAATAAATCAATCTTTAAAAATTAATGTCAACATAACTTAGGAATACGCTGCTCTGTGGTGAGACAGGGAAAAAATGCCACTTGATATCAGAAAACTCAGAAAGTAACCACAGCCAGGGCTGAAGCCATTTGAGCTTTGAACACAAGATGTACAAAGAAACGAGCAAATTCAGAATCAACCATGTGGCAGGCATGAAGGGAGGCACTGCAGAGAAGTTATGGGAAGATGGGGAAGCGTATTTTGATGGAAAACATTTTGAAGTCCTTATCTATGTGGGGTTTAAAAGTTCAGAGAGAACGCTTGTGATGAAACCTATGGACGGATTTCAGAAACAGTTTTGTCCCAAACTTTTCGTTCCCTTCCCACTGACCCTCCTCTGCCCCACAACCCTTTCAAGGCGCACTCCAACCTGTCCTTGTCTCAATTCCTGTTTCCATGACACTCCGACCTCCTGGAAAATTGGACTCCAACTTGGGAGGTCTTGGTGACTGTCATCATTAAAAACAAAACAAAATGAAACAAACAAACAAACAAATAAAACTAAACTTGGAATCTGCTTTCGGGTAAACCAGCAGAGATGGCTGCTTTTTACACATTCAACATTTGACTAGACTTAAACCTGAAACAGATGAATGAGAAGGAAGCAGAGATGAACAGCTGTGGCTTTTCCAGGAAACCTTGACTGCCCTGGTCTTGCCCTGACAAAGCAGCCCAAGACAGTCACACCAAACGCCCCCTTCCAGGGACATTGGTCTCCAGATTCCACACCCGGTGTCATCATGAGACACTGAGACAAGGTCTGAACCCAGGATGGGGTCCCTGGATGCTGGGAAGGTCCCGGGGAGCCAAGGGGAACCCCAGAGTCCCAGCTCTTCTCAGCTCTCCCCAGCCCCAAAGGACTGGATCTGGGTGTGGCCAGGGAGGCTGAGCCGGCCGGGTAAGGGGGTGGGGTCTGTAGACACTCACCCAGCATGGTCACATTGCAGTCCAAAGTGACCAGGAGGAATCCCAGCAAGTCCACACCTCCCATTTCCAGTTGGCCCCGGAGCTTCTAGAGATGCTGAGGGCTGTTGTCTTCACAGAAAGATGCTTTCCTTACTGAGAATCCAAGGGAGATGGGACAGGGAGCGCAGAAGCTGAAGCCCCAGGGAGCAAAGCCAGCCGACAACTGCCAAGCCCCAAGCAGCAGGTGCTGGCTCTGCACTCAGGCTATTCTTACCCCTGAGCTATTCCAGGCCTGTCTCCAGCAGGACAGCCGGACACTCCTGGATATAGCAGAAGCAGCTCCTTTTAGCCCAAGAAGGCAAAGGCTCCGAGCCAGCAGGCCTTGTGGTATCCCAGGAACATGTGCACAGCCCTGGTTGGGGCTCATCTCCTCTGCAGAGCTGCGCACCTCAGCCCATGAGATGTCAGCACTGTAGGTTCCCAGTAGGGACTGACACTAACACAGAGGCAGGTGCAAACCCACTGGCTGCTCGGTGTCTCTTTTGCAGGATGACTGTCCCATGCAGCACTGGCAACAAGGACGAGAGCGGCAGGCACACAGCAGACAGGTGCTCAACTCACACGGGAGGCTGGCTTTTCTCCAGAGCTAGGGATTCTGTGTGCAATGGCTTGGGTCCTGCTGACAGTAGCCACGGCTCCATCCAAGTCCACCTGGGCATCCAGGGAGGACCAGCCTCACCCTGAGGCTGGGACCCTGACACCAGGGCGGGACCTGTGAGGTGCTTCTATTTTCCAGAGAGGCTGCCCTTCCTCCCCCATCTTGGTTCATCCTCTCTCATCTGTTCCTGCCTTCTCTGCCTGCTTCCTCAAAGGAGTCTTGGGATGGAGGATGGAGTGCCAGGAGGAGAAGCTGCTGGTATCTGTGTTCTGTGCTGCTCTCTCTCCAAGTCCACCCAGCCCCCACTGCCATCTTTGTCTCCACTTCTCTTTCTCTGACATTCCCTGGAAACCTCAATCTCCATGGGTACCAAAGGTAAGGTGGAGAAGGGAGTCTTGGGGACATGTGTGGTTATTGGCTATGCTTTTGCATCAACCAGGCACCTGCAGAGAGAAGCAGGACAGGTACTGGCTCAGGTGAAGCCAATTGTAGGCAGGTACCCTGGTCATGGAATGGAGGGGCAGAGTCAAGAGCCAAGTCCAGGCCTTAGAGCTACAGATTCCTCTCATCTGGGGGTGTCGAACCTGAGTACCAGGAAGGGGCCATGGCTGTGACAGCTGTGCAAGGTAGCAGTGCAGCGTGTCCCACCTTCTGTGTTTGGTCTCTCAGGAATCTCTGGCCAGCTGATGGGGTGCCCACATCCAGGGGGGCCTTCCCCAACCAGCACTCATCTCACAGACACACCCAGAGTGAACCGCCTCTAAGGGTCTCTAGGCATTCCTTAGTTCTATCAGGCTAAAATTAGCCATCACAACTGTTATTGGAGATGGGTCTGGGAGATTTCCATTGGTGGAGCTGACAGAGGATCTGGGGGCACAGAGAAATGAATCCAGGCCAGGAAAGACACCAAGTGAGAGAGACACAGAGGTCCCAGCCCGAGTTGGCCCAGAAGAGGCTCTCCACGAATGATAACCATGGCAAAGGAAAATGGCCTCAAATGCCGAATTCATGAACTTCAGGGCTGCTTAGCAAATACAGCATCGAGCTCCTAGGAGCCCTCCAGTCCCAGCATTCTCATGCATCAAACATCCCCTTGCTTTATGTGTGTTTCTGTTCAAAAACGCCTCATGGGGCCAGCCTTATGGCATAGTGAGTAAAATAGCCACCCAAAGCACCAGCATCACTTATGGAAGCTGGTTCGAGTTCTGGCTACTCTGCTTTCAATCCAGTCCCGTTAATGCATCCGCAAAAGCAATGGAGGATGATCCAAGGGCTTGAGTCCCTACACCCAACAAAGGAGACCTGGAGGAAGCTCCTGGCTCCTGGCTTTGGATCAGCTCAGCTCTGACCGTTGTGCCCACTTGAGCAGTGAACCAGCAGATAGGAAAACCTTCCTTATTTCTCCTTTTCTGTAAAATCCGCCTTTCAAATAAAAATAAAATAAATTTTAAATAAGACCAACAGTCTGTTTGCCACACTTTTTAAATTTGTTTTAAAATTATTTCAAAGTCAGAGTTAGAGACACACATACACACCTTCCACCTGCTGGTTCACTTCCCATACAGCCACAATGGCCAGTCCCGAACCAGACTAAAACAAGAGATTTGGAACTCAATCTGGACCTTCCTCATGGGTGGCAGGGAGCCAAGAACTTTGGGTCATTTTTCACCGCTCTCCCAGGCACATTAACAGGGCACTGGATCAGAAGTGGAGCAGCCAGGACACAAACCAGAGCCCATATGGGATGCCGGTGCAGCAGGCGGTAGCTTTATCTATAATGTCACAGCACCATCACAACATCACCCCCCACCCTGGCTGTGATTTTTCTAAAATGAGGCTCATAGTGGGTGATGGGGAGACGGAGATGGTCGCTACTTCAGAAGCAGTGGCCGAGGAGGGCCAGCAAAGGCTGACTTTCAGCAAAAGGGCGGAAGGTCTGTATATGCTGAAACATCTGGGAGAAGCACAGGATGGCCAGAACTATGAGCTGGAAAAAGCATCCGGGGGTCAAAAAACAAGAAGCTGCCAGCACAGAAGAACCACAGCCACAGAGGAGGGGACGGGCAACATCCCTGTGTGAAAGCCCCTCCCATTCCCCAGTTCTGGAAGATTCTGCAGCTGAACTGCTGGGAAGGGACCACTCCTTCGGAGCTGAGCAGCAGGCCTGAAATAGCAACGCCTGGATTGGCCTGAGGGGTGGTGAGTGGGTCCCAGTTATACCAGCTGCCTGGGCTTCTATACTTGGCAGCCATAGAAATATGACAGCATGGTAGCCAGCGCCATTTCGTACTGTTAGGGGTATCATTCGCCAAGGCTCCGGGTGAAAAGCTTAGCCAGCACGGCAGCTGTTGCTTTGTTTTGGGGGCAGGAAGCAGGGGAGACGGTGACAGCAGTGGAACTGACCCACCTCCAGCCTAGCCCATCCCTTGGCTGGGACTGCTCACAGCCCCAGTCCCAATTGTTCAGGCACTTCTGCTCCAGCTCCCGGCCGATGTCTGGGAAAGCAGTGGAACGTGGGCCACGTGCTCGGGCCCCCTGCACCCATGTGAGACCTAGATGAAGCTGCTCCCGGCTGTGTTGGCAATCCCAGCCATTCAAGGAGCGAACCAGCAGATGGAAGACGCCCATCTCTGACTCACTATGCCTTTAAAGAAATAAACTCTCTTTTCCCTTTTTTCAAGCGCTCTGGCTGGGTTCCTAATTCAGCCAACACTTGTTACTGTCTGGAAAGTTGCCTGTAGGACTCCACCCACCGAGTGCCAGGGGGATCTTTGTCTCCCCTCTTCTTGCCTGGCTGGTTTCTCACCTGCAGGATGCACCCAGCCTGTGCTGAGAGGTCAATTCCAGGGCAGTCCAGGTGATAAAATGTAGCACTTGATGCCAAAGTGAACCCAGGTCTCTAGCATGCAGCCTCCTATCTCCTGCCTGGAGGTTTCTATGGAGGCCTGTACTTCAGGGCCAGGACCCCACCTCTACGTCCGATCCAGCCCCCCAGCCCCCTGCTTATGAGCCTGGACAGGTAGCAAAGGACGGCTCAGGCCTTCCATCCCTGTTACTCGTGTGGGAGACCCAAACAGAGTTCCTGGGTTTTGGTGTCTGCTTGACCCAGCCCCAGCTACTGTAGCCTTTTGGGGAGTGAATTAGTGGATTAGTGGAAGGTATTTCTAACTTTGCCTTTTCAACAAATAAGGACAGGTTTTTGTTTTGTTTTGTTTTGTTTTGTTTTGAAGATCTGTATAGTGTGAACCACTGAAGAGCTACGGGTTCACCTGGTCAAATATCTCGATATCAAAACAAACAACACGCAACAGGAAGGCAGGCACTGTTCGCTCTGTGTTTTTATTCAACACTTAAGAAACACCTACAATGAACCAAAGAATTGTGTCTCATTAAAAAGTCAAAAGCTGTAAAATTTGGCCCCAGGTGAGAGCTTACCAAAGCCGCAGAAACAGTCAAAACCGCTCAGTCCCCTAATTTTACTCCGCTACCTGGCTGAGGATCAAGGTCCTCCCCACACCGGAACACAGCCTCCTTGCTCCCCAAAGCCCCAGAGGAAGAAATGGCAGGGCAGCCAGAGCAGACGACGGCCCAGGAGGCTTCCCGCCGTGGCCTCCGCAGGGCAAAGAAGGCACGAGAACGTGCCCCGTGGCAGGCCTCAGCTTGCTCCCCTCCATCTGGCATCCCGCCCTCATTTCCCTTTCCTTAGCCCAGTTTAAAAAAACAAAACAAAACAACAGCATAAAACTCATTGGGATACACTTTCATTGTCGTTCCAGGGACTTGATCTGTTGCCGAAGTCAACATTGCAGTCAGCAAGTCGTGTGGCTGTCGTGGTCCTCGGAGCAAGTCCACTGCAACCGCGTCCTCCCACGCAGCAAACCCGCTGCCAGCGTAGGGCGCGGTGGCCCCTTGCCAGCTGCAGTTACAGGTGCAGTGCCCGCTGCCCCGGGCCGGCCTTCTCTTTTTGTTGTTGGTTTGGCAAACTCAGAACAAAGAGAAACAGAGTGCGAATCCTTCACCACTATGTTTGGAATTAAAAAGAAAAAAAAAAAAAAGGAACCTAAACTATCTACCTGTGTGTTGAGTGGTTCAATCAGACGTGAAACTAAAACCTACACTTACAGCGGAGCCTTAAAGATCCTTAGTGCGAAAAAAGAAAAAAAAAATCAGTTAATACAGATCCACCCTAATGAACAAGTATGAAAATTTTTCCTATACAGAGGTAGAGAACAGCGTACAAAGCTAAAACAATATGCAATAGGTCTGAGCGAGACCGAGCCAGGTGTCTGCGGAATCCACTTGAAACGCCTAGGTTGTCAGACTGTATGTACATACAATAAATACACTGTACAATGCTCGGAAGTAGCTTTCGTAAACTCCACAAAATAATAGCAGATGCATAGATATTTACAGGATTTCAATTGCAAATCTCCCATTCAAACAGAAGGGATTAAAAAATAAGATTTCTGCTTGAAAGGCAGCAGGTCCTCTTTTCCTGGATGGGAATGGTAAAACAAGATACTTTGCGTGAGAGGAACTAATTTACGTAAGAGGTATTCAGATTCGGCTACGAAATTATGTCCCTCTGTAAGCACTCTAAATGGGGCGGATGGACAATGAGGATGTCCATCTCTGGGGAAGGTTGGAAAGTTCACCTCCGACTTGAGGAGCTGGTCCCGGCGCCCACGCTGAGCTTGGCATCAATGCCACATGCACGCTCCCGTGCCCTGCTTGTTCCCGTCTCAGAGTGGGGCGGGAGAACCTGATGGGGCGGTCCGTTCACGCCAGGCACCGACTCCGCAGGGGCCTGAGCAGCACGGTGGGAAGGGGCATGTAGCGGGGAGCTGCCTCTGGCCTCCTGGGTCCCTTCCGTTCTCCACATTGGCGGCCGCTGGGAGTGGGCACGTTTAGGGGCCAGGAGTGCGATTTGAGGGGGACTCACAGAGCTTCGTGTGGAGCTCAGCAAAACTGGACGGAAGCTTCCCGTCTGGGGTCGGTGAGACAAGGAGACAGTCCGGTTGTCACCCACGAGGTGAGAGTTTTCCCAAGTCTGGGGTTTGCTGTAACTTCTCTAAGTGCCCACATGGAAATGCCAAGTGGAGTTTTCTTTCTATTTATTCAACCACTCCCTGAAAAATACCTCAGGAAATATTTATCACATGTCCCCCCCCCCGCCTCAGCCATCTTCCCCACTGGAATACCCACCTGGCCTTTTTTATTTTTTTTTGAAATTTAAAAAATTTTTTTAAAAGAACTTTATACAAATAGACTGACTTTGATTTAAAGTGAACATACAAAAATTGGGAAGAATATTGCTTCAGACAATGGACGTGGAAGAGGATGGGTGAGGGTGAGGGTGGGAGTGGAGAAGGAACACCGGCCACTTGTGGCCAGTGTGCACACGCCCGAAGAGCTTTTCCAAACTGCAACTTCAGGTCAGAGGGAAGGTGGGCGAGAGAAAAAAAAAAAAAATCCAAGGACTGGAAGGCACAAGCACCCATATGATTTAGAATTTTCTTGGGATGGGGCAGTTGTGTTCACGTTGCCACTGAGAGAGAGAGAACCCTACGGACAACCAAGGTGCCAAGGTGGTGGTGGGGTGGGGGGGTGACAGAGACCAAACAAGCATGTGCCCCTGCGGGGGGGGGGGGAAGAAAGCTCAGGAGTCAGCTTGCAGAACAGTGCAGAGAGAAAACAACCAGCACGGTTTATTTGGAGCTCTGTGCCATGGTGGGTACAAACGCTTATTTCTCTGCTCCGTGAGACCGGAGCAAAAAAAAAAAAAAAAAAACAAAAGCAACCCCCGGTGCCAGTCCCCCCAAAACAACGCCCACACAGCAGCAGCAGTGGGAAAAGACCCAAGGGGTTCCACGGACACATGGATCCCCACGCGTGCTCTAGGCAGCACGCGTGCCCTAATGTGCATCCAACCTGCTGATCTACTTGCTGCCTTTTTCCATCTTCCTCCTCAACACTACCCCGGCCGGCAGCGCTTCCCTGCTCTCCGTGGCTTCATCCCTGCAGAGCAGAGCAGAGAGCAGAGCAGTGTGTGCGCTCCGCGAAGGGAGATGCTGCCCAGGACGGCCACTGAGATGGCAGCGATGGGGGAAGGCGTGACCCTGGATGGTCACTCCACCGATCCCGCCTCCCCGAGGGCGGTGGGAGGCGGCGGGACGGAGCTGAGTTTTAAAAATAATAATAATAATAATAAAAGAAAGGGAAAATGGGGCAGGGGAAGTAAAGAGGGGAATAAAAAGAAAACAAAAAAAAACCTGAAATCCAAAACCACCCCAAGTTTGTCTCTTTCTCAGACGGGCTGGAGGGCCGCGGGCCTGCGGTGGGCCTGGGCGGTTAGGGGATGATGGCCGGGGACCACCTGGGCAGCGTCAGGTTGTCGGCACTGGCGGACCGCTTCCGCGCGCTTCTCCTCAGGTCCTTGTACTTGTCCTCGCAGAGGCGAGAGATGGCCTGTGGGCGAGAGGGGCGGCTCAGCGTGGCCGTGGCCACCTTGCCCCGCGGGGTACAGCCGCGCGCCACTGTTCCCCCAAGCCCACGTTCCAGGACCCCCTTCTGCTCTGACAGTTCCGGGGAGCAGGCCCACGATGAAGGACAGCTCGGAGGCGCCGAGGCGCACGTGAAGGATGAGCGAGGGTACCCGCCGGCTCCATACACAGGGTGACCTGTTGGTTTGTTCCCCACCCCCCGCCACACGCACACCCCTAAGTTGAGAACAAAATTCTAAAGGGGAACAGCGCTCTCTCTTGGGATTCTGTAGTTTCTCAGCTCACAAAACCGCAACCCTCTGAACCCACAGTGAGATTGCACTGCTCTAGCACCTTTCTAGATTGTTTGGGAAGTGCCCTTGTCATAGGGGTCTGCTTGGGCACTGATTCACCACGAGGCGAACTCTGCCAGCATCTACTCCCTGGCCAGGCAGCCTCCACTGGTGGGTGAACGGGTACAGAACTGGCGATGTGGGCCGGGTCCACCATCTGGTTCTGCCCTGCGTCTCACTGCGATAACCACAGGGACTCACCAGGATGCTGGTGTGGAAATCACCAGTGGTCAGGACTGCCAAGGGGAGCTCCTGCACACAGTGGGAGCGCGTGGGTCCTAGGAGAAGGCAAGGGGCGGCCTGCCCAGGACATGCTCCTGTCCTGGAGCCGGCTGTGCACAGAGGCCCTCAGGTGGGCCCAAGGAGAGAGCAGTGGCTTCACCTGTAACCCACTGGTCGCTGGTTCACATCCCCACTGCTCCTCTGACCATCGTGCCCCTGCTGGGGCACCTGCTGAGGCAGTGTTTGCAGGCCCAGGTGCTCAGGCCCCTCTGCCCCACATGGGAGACTGGGATGCAGTTCCTGGCTCTGGCCTAGCCCAGTCCTGGCCACTGCACAATCTGATGAGCTAATCAGTGCATGGAATACCTCTTCCTCACTAACTCTGCCTTGCAAGGAAAATTTTTAAAAGAAAAATGAAGGCTGTTTTTCTTTCAACAGCTGGTAAAACATTACAGAAAAATGGTTTAAAATTTGCACTATCTTTTTATTCTGATTCCAGTGCTATGTCCTTTTTTCTCCCCGCTTTTCTTTTGGTTTTGATAAATCTGCTTGTAACTGCCATATTACTTACACTTACATTTTTTTACTATCCATTATAACTCCCTAATTCCAGACTCTGGCCCCCAGCTGTTAATCCTGCCAGACACCACGCTGCCTCCATCTGACCTTGTACCCCTAGGACGGACACACGGTGCACAGCACGAGACCCGGGGCTCTCCCCATGGGGGCGTGACTGCGTGGGCCATGACCCCATGCTTCCAACACCTGGTGGGGTGGGATGGAGGTATTGCCTGGAGGAGGGGCCTCAGCAACTCCTCCCACTGCCCCACGTTGCTTCCATAAGCAAAAAGCTTAGCCATGAAGGCAGCTCCACAAAGCAGCCGCCCGGTGAAATAGGGGGGTCCCCCATGGGAGGTCCTGATGCAGACCCCAGTGCAGGAGCTGGCCCCGCCCTATGTGGCTGTGGCAGAGGGGTTCAGAAAACCAGCAGTTTGTGGGAACAATCTTGCCAGACTCCCAATAAGTCAACTGGTACTTACTGCCCGCCAAAGGAGCGAGGCGTGCTGGGAAATATGTTCTTGGGGGCTTATAATTAAAAATAATAATAACAAAAATTTTAAAAGCCCATCTATGAGAATAAGGGTTTAAAAACCTTTGATTTCAAAACAGGACGCACATACGTCAACACCAACATCTTAGAAGGATGGAGCTGTCCGAATGATCGCGAAGTGAACTCGGCCCCACCAGCCAGGGCGCACACTGCACACCACGGGGAGCCACCGGGGGACTCACACACAGCACTCCACGGCCGCCATGGGCACGCTCACCTCCAGCTTGTGGGCTCTGTCTCGGCTCAGTGGCTCCAAGGGGAAACTCAGGTTGTTGGCCTCTGCCAGGGACCGGAGATCAAAATAATACTTGGCGTAGACGCTGGAGGGCACGTTGATGTTGAACTGCAGCAGTTCCAGGAACTGTCGCTCCAGCTCATTCCTGCACAAGCCGAGACGCAGACAGCATGGGCTCAGCCGCTGCACCCAGGTAAGCTGCCCCAGGGGTCCACAGCACCCATGGGGGATGGGGGAGATGCGTAGGGAAAAGGGACAGAATGCATGGCCTGGCTGGAGGTCAGGCGGGGATGAGGCAGACGTGGTCAGAGCTGCCCAGCTCAGTCCAGGAGAGCCTCCAGGGGAGCTGGACCCCAGGGGCCACCAGGTCCTGGGGACTGCCTGAGCCTGAAAGTATGGGCAGGCACAGGTCACCTGCATGACTTGCTAGGAGTGATTGCTACATTCCACCCCACCCCCTGCCCAGCCCCCCATCAGGCTCTGATTCTGGGGGGGGGGGCCCTGAGAACCTGCACTGCCAGCAAGCTCCAGGGGGTGTGGGGTGATGCTACTAAGGCTGCCAGAGACCCACAGAACTCAAGGGGAGGCCAGCAGGGAGTGTTAGTACTGCCTCCTTCTGGCCTCGCACCTACTTCCTGTGTTAGTTACACTTCACATCCGCTCACCTCTCCAGGGTGACAGCTTGTGGAAGCCAGCTGTGGGAGGGCCTGCTGGATGCGGACCCTGGCCTCTGCCACCCACGTGGCACCCACGTGGCGACACATTCCTGTTCCAGCCCCTGCTGCAAGGTGCAGTCTGGCCTTCTTCAGCCTTAGCAGCCACTTCCAGCTGCCCCGTGCCTCAGGACCAAGGGCTCCTGCCAAGTCACCGGTGACTCTGGCTACCTGCTGGCAGCCAAGCAGGCAGCTGGAAGCCAGGAAACACAGATCCCCCCCAGGACCTCACCAGGGCCTCGATGATGCCCCTGGGGTCTGCGAGCCCGCATGTCTAACTTGCTGTGTGGTTCGCACACAGTTCCACCCACATGCACCGGCTTTTCAGCCCCTAACAGGGTTCAATGCCTTTCACTGGAGAGAGGACACCCTGTGAAACACACCCCACGGCCCCCGCCCCAGGAGCAGCGGCCCATTCCTGGACAAAGGCGGCAATTTCTCAACTTTCTCAGCCAGGGGTTTTAGCGCCCTTGAACAAACGAATGCTCCTGGAGGAGGTTTTGGGGGTGTCAGGAGCTTGGGAACGCAGGTGAAAACTGAGAAGACAAAGGCTGTTTCTCGTTAAGCCCGGCAGCGGGCATCCCTGTGGGGCTGTTTCACAGGGTGGCACGCAGCATCAGAAAGCTAATGTGGCTCTAAGGAATCACACATTTACAGAGCTGTACAAAATATACTCGGAAAAAACCGTTCACTAAACAGTTACTAAAAAAAAAAAAAACCTGACTTAATAGTGTTTAAGTGTTTAAAGCACTGACTCTTCAAAGGGGAAATATTTTATCACTCAGACATTGAGCTTAATTTCAGCTGAATGACTTTGTGCCACATTCTAGCCACTTTACATGGCTAAGGACCTAGCTTTAAAAAAATAATAATTGCTGTTTTTTTGTTTTCTGCTTTTTTTTTTTTAAGATTTATTTATTTTTATTGGAAAGTCAGATATAGAGAGAGGAGAAGAGATAGAGAGGAAGATCTTCCGTCCGATGGTTCACTCTCCAAGTGGCCGCAACAGCCAAAGCTAAGCTGACACGAAGCCAGGAATCAGGAACCAGGAACTTCCTCCAGGTCTTCCACGTGGGTGCAGGGCCCCAAGGCTTTGGGCCGTCCTCGACTGCTTTCCCAGACCACAAGTAGGGAGCTGGATGGGAAGTGGGACCGCCGGGATCAGAACAAGGACTTTAGCTCTAGGCTACTGTGCCGGGCCTTTTTTTTTTTTGCTTTTTTGCCAAATTGGGCAAGTGAAGCAATTTTATTTCAATTGCTGAGAGGAGAAACACTAAATAAATAAATCTTGGCTGTCGATGACTAGTCAAGTGACCTGGTCATCTCACTAAGTCCTTGGGACATTTCCGACTGCTGAATGGGAATTTCTTTTTTTTTTTTTTTAAGATTTATTTATTTATTGGAAAGTCAGATATACAGAGAGGAGGAGAGACAGAGAGGAAGATCTTCTGTCCGATGATTCACTCCCCAAGTGAGCGCAACGGCCGGTGCTGTGCCGGTCCGAAGCCAGGAACCAGGAACTTCTTCCAGGTCTCCCACACGGGTGCAGGGTCCCAAAGCTTTGGGCCATCCTCGACTGCTTTCCCAGGCCACAAGCAGGGAGCTGGATGGGAAGTGGGGCTGCCGGGATTAGAACCGGCGCCCATATGGGATCCAGGAGCGTTCAAGGCGAGGACTTTAGCCGCTAGGCCACAGTGCCGCCAGGCCTGATGCTGAATGGGAATTTTCATAAGTACTACTCCCTTAAGGAAGTGAGAATAGTAGTGAAAAATAATTCTCACACACACACACACACACACACACACACACACACACACACACAGGTCCTTTGGGGCCAGAAGTACTCAAAGCCATCATTCTTTTCAGCTTTCTAATTTAAAACATCAACAAGGGGCCACTGTAGTGGCACAGTATGTTAAGCCTCTGCCTATGGTGCCAGCATCCCTTATGGGCACCGATTCGAGTCCCAGCTGCTCCACCTATAATGCAGCTCCCTGCTATTGTACCTGAAAAGGCAGCAAATGACGGAGAGCTCCAGGCTCCTGGCTTCAGCCTGCCCCACCCCTGGCAGGTATAGGGATTTGGGGACTGAACCAGTAGATGCAAAATCCCCGTCTCTTCCTCCTTTTCTGCCTTTCAAATACAAGATAAATCATAAAAAAAAAAATCACAATAAAATAGAACGTGGGTATCCGATTCCAGACTGTAGGCGATTCTTACACCCTCACCTATCTGCCTACATTAAAGGAGACAGTGGCACATTAAAAAAAAATAAATTAAAAAAGAGCTATTTCAGTCCAAATATCCTCATGGACAATCAGGGGGCAGGAACCCATCCATGTTCTCCTGGATGCCCTCTGTCTATACCGTAGAGGGAAGGGCTGTGTGTGTGTGTGTGTGTGTGTGTGTGTGTGTGTGTGTCAGGCCCACACTCACATGTCTTCCACAGTGATGTCCTTCAAGATCTGGCAGTAGTCCACGTTCCACACGGCCTGGTCATCCCACACCTTGGAGGCGAGCAGGATCGCCCCGAGAACTATCCGCTTCCAGTTGGCCGGGCAGATGTCAATCTCCGCGTACGTCAGCAACCGCTCGAGGTACACCTGGGGTCATGGGAACAGGGTTGGGGGGACACGGCAATGCCACAGCTCAGCACCTCTCCCGTGGTCTCATTCCACACCCAGGTACACTTCAGCAAGTCCTGAACTTAACTCCATTTTGACCTGACCTCGTTGCCTTTTGGAAGCCGAGAGCTCAGTTGAGTTTGAGGAGACACAGGCTGTGTGCTGCCTGTGCCGGGACGGTATGGAGCAAGCTGCACCTTGCATGCCTCCGGGGCAGGAACAAATCCCAGGAGCCACCAGGAAAGGCGCGTTCAGCGAGTGTCCCCATACATAAACTAAGCAACAAGATGAGAGCGAGCCTTATTTTTGTGGATTTGTAGATAGCTTGATTGATGCATTTCAACTGGCTTCTATCAGTTACACAAATATGTGTGGTACAATGTGATGCTTGGATAAGGCAAGCATGATGTCACTGCACAGGTAGGAGGCTTTGGTGTATCTATCGCCTTCAACATCGTCTATCTTTTTGTGTGGCTATGAAAAAACGTCCCCACTGGCTGCGGTCACCCACTGGCTGCGGTCACCTATTGGCTGCGGTCACCCACGGGCTGCGGTCACCCACGGGCTGCGGTCACCCATGGGCTGCGGTCACCCACTGGCTGCGATCACCCACTGGCTGCGGTCACCTATTGGCTGCGGTCACCCACTGGCAGCGGTCACCCACGGGCTGCGGTCACCTACTGCCCGCTGCCCTCTCTGACCCTACCAAGGGACCGGCATCATTCCGGACCAACATCAGCCGCCTGGTGTTCCACGTGGGACAGAGGGCAGGTGGCGTATTTTGCTAAGTATCACATGCTGCAGGGTCATCTCTGTTGCCCAAAAGGACAAGACTGCACCCTCTTCCTGGCTAGGAAAACCTCTGACTGCCTGGCAGTCACCGACTTGCGCTGCACACTGTAGCTGTTGACAGGCCAACTTTGGAAGTCTCTGTGGTAACACATCCACAGCACGGAATTCACTCCCTTCATGCCTTGCACCGGCAGCTACATTCCGGCCTTTCTTCCGGTGACTCTTCTGGGTGCCCCGTGGTGGACTCACTCACTTCCACTTGCCTGGCTGACTCCATCCCATGGCAGCCCACATCAGAATCCCCACCCTGCTTAAGGCTGACCCGAGTCACCTTGCGTACATTTTACTTACACATGCTGTGTGTGTGTGTGTACTCGTGTGTCACGGACACGTGGGCTGTGTGTGTGGCTACAGGCTGTGGGGAACGATGCAGCCATGCAAACAGGTGTCCACAGATCTGCTCAAAGCTCCGTGCTTTGGGGATCTTCTGGGCCACACGCACAAGCTGACCTTTGAACTCTCTGCATGGCTACCCCATCAGAAGCTTCACATCTTTCTGAGTGCTTGCTAGCTTCTGGTTTCTTACAAAGCAAGTCACCATGGGCCCAGTGCAATGACTCAACTGGCTAATCCTCCACCTCTATGCACATCCCATACGGTGCCAGTTCATGTCCCAGCTGTTCCACTTACGTGGCCTGGTAAAACATCAGTGAACGGCCCAAGCCTTGGGGCCACGTACCGGCGTGGGAGACCTGGGAGAGGCTCCTGGCTTCAGATCAGCTTAGCTTTGGCCATTGTAGCCATTTGGGGACTGAACCAGTGGATGGAAGACCTTCTCTCTGTAAAATCTGCCCTCCAAATAAAAATTAAATCAATCTTTAAAAAGAAAAATCACCCTAAAGGTGACAAGACATCTTATGGGGATTTTGACAAACCTAGTAAGGAACAGCTAAAGCAACCTCATTTCATCTGAAGTTAGAAAACAAAAGCAAGGATTCAGCTTGAACTTGGACTTTACAAAAAAAAAAAAAAAGAAGACGACCATGAAGTTCCTCTCTTTCCTCTCCCGGGGTAAAAATCTGATTATGCAAATGTCTTCACTTCCCAAACCATGACATTATCATCTGTGTAGCTTCTGTCAAATCTATTCGCAGAGCAAAGCTCCTGCACCAGAAAGGGAACTTGGACACACACATCATGCTTCGCTGTTTAACAACTTGTTCTCTTTGTTCAGTATTTCTCTTTATGTACTGAAAGGGACACAGAGAAGGAGACAGGGGGAGGAAGGAGTTTCCAATGGCTGGTTCACTCCCCAAAATGCCCACAACAGCCAGGACTAGACAGGTCAAAGAAAGAGAGCCTGGAACGCCAGCTGGGTGCCCCACATGAGGGCAGGAGCCCACACCCCTGAGCCATCTCCTGCTGCCAGGGGCACTGGCAGGAGGCTGGAAGGGAAGCAGAACAGCCTGTGCTCCCAGAGGAATATGGGTGTTGCCAGCAGTGGTATAACCTGCTATTTGCTTTCTAAAACACATGCAATCTGCCCAGTATCGTCTGCATGCTGGTACAGTCTTAAACACCACCAGCTGCGAAAGAGGGCATGCCACTTGGGACAAGCCAACGTTAACATGGAAAGCAGTCAGCTGTCCATCAATTCGGTCACGTGACCAAGAGACAGTCGCAGAGGAACGAGAGCAGCACAGGCAAGCCTGATTCGCTGCCCCAGTGTCTACCCAGCTGGCGTCCCCAGTGTGCCCATCACTGGACACACAGCAAGAGCAGCACATCAGATGGGCTGGCGAGGCTCCAGCGGGGGCAGGGGGGTGGTAGCAGCAGCTCAGAGACCTGGGCCTGACCTGGGGACACAATGCAAGAGCCTGACAGGGGTGTCTCACGTACGAGTAGGCGCCGAGGCCAACAGCCACAGAGGACAGCTGCTGTGGAAGAGCCCCCTCGTGCTTGCTGCTGGCGGGACACTGTCCACTGAGCCAAGAAGGAAGAGGCCAAGTCCACATGGTCACAAGTTGCCACTGGCCGCTCTCTCTGAATGTGCAGGTCTGGGGCTCCAAGGGGGCATGGGGAAGCGTGGTGCACATATAAGGTCCTGCAGAGGGACAGGACCTGATGGGACCTGCTTCCTGCGAGACTGGAGGACGCACAAGGTGGAACTATGTGTCTGGCGCCACGGGGCTGTGCAGGCTGCACTCAGGACACAGGAGAAGGAAGGGAATGAAGCGATGCCTTCACCGCAGTGGCTGCAGGCGGTGACCGGGAGTGGGGAACGGGGAGGAGCTGGGGCAGGAGGGGCTGCAGGAGTGGAAAGCGGAGAAAGAGGAACGATGGAGTGGGCTGGGGAAGAACCACAGAGGGAGGACACCAGGAGAGGAGAAAGCAGAGGCAGAAGTAAAGGAGGGGAATAGCATTAAGGGATGCCCGATTCCTGGGGAGCAGGGTAAGGCCAGGGGGCTTGGCAGACTCCTCCAGAATTCCTCCGACCCTAAACCAACCAAGAGAGCCCAGTGTTTCCCTGCCACCCACCCTACCACCAAGCTACCAGAAGCTTTCTTGAGGCTTATTTTGGCTGCAGCAGTGAACAAACGAACCCAAGAACCCTGACAGTGCAAGGATGGGAAGCAGGAACCACCTGCTCTGCTGTCCCCAGCTGCAGGCTGGAGGACAGCGGGCTGGAACCCAAGTGGGTGACGGCTCCTTTGCCTAGGCGCTTCCCGGTCTGTCCTTGGCGCTTCATTTATGAAAGGGTCATCCTAGAGTCTCACTGCTACTGTCAGTGTGTGTGGGGACAACACAACAATGGAATTATCTTTTAGTTCAAGTCTCCTGACACCTGCAACAGGCAGGGCAGGGCCAGGCCAAAGCCAGGAGTCTGGAACTGCATCTGGGGCTCCCACGTGGGTGACAGGAGGCCCAAGCGCTTGAGCCAGCAGCACCTGCATGCCGGCAGAAGCTGAACTGCGAGTGGAGGAGCCAGGACACAAACCAGCCATTGGCACGCAGGCATCGCGGGCAGCACTGGAAGCCACTGCATCAAATGCCTGCCCCTAGGACTACTATATTTCAAAATTCTAGAAGCAAAATGCCAGAGCTGTGCTAGGAGGTTGTTTGCTGGGTAAGTGGTGAGACAGGGAACCGTGACTGGTAAGGTCTTCGTGGATTTCATGAGTCGGGGGACCCTCCTACCTGCGTCCATCAGGGAAGACAGGCTTTACCGTCTGACCTGCCTCTCCCTTGGTGAAATCTTGAGTTCCTAGGTGACAAAGCCCTCGTGTCACTTCCTGTGCGTCGGACACCACGCACGATACCAGGAAGGGTGGTGCTTGCTGGTGCCTGCTTATGGGACATCCCTGTAGGCAGGAATGGAGGGAGACCCCCAGGAAGAGCTAGCCTCTCCTGGTGGCCCCGGCTCAGTGTAACAAGGTGGCTTTACATATTCCTGAGCTGCAGCACCTTCGCTGACAGATGCCAACAAGATACAGCAGATCCTATCTTACGTTTGGGAAAATCCAGCAAGTACCTGCCACGCGGGACACTGTGCCACGTGGGACACTGTGCCACGCGGGACACTGCGCCACGCGGGACACTGCCTGGGCTCCCTGAGGTGTGAGAGGACACGCGCCCTAGCCAAGACACGGCTACTCAGCAGCGTGTGATCTGGTGGGACTGACAAAGCTGAGCTGCGTTAAAGGGTCACATGCAATTTCTTTAGGAAACTCACACTTGTCTGCCAACTTAAAAAAAAATCTTTCCTGAACGTGTCCAGACCTTCGTTAATAGGATCTCTCCTACTCGATTACTCGATTTTCAGATTCAAGTTCATGGGAATGACGGTCCCCAAGCAGTGTCTCTGGGAAACGCAGGTGGAGGAGGCTTTGTGGAGCTGCGAGGAGCCTTCGCTTGACCGCACCTGCCTCAAAGCATGCGGGGATGGGGAGGTGTCCAACGCACACTCACACTTCCACGAGCTGAAACAGCAACAAGCAGATCCTTTTTTTTTTTTTTTAAGATTTTAGATTTTATTGTTATTTGAAAGGCAGAGTTACACCAGAGAGGAAGGGAGAAACAGAGAAATCTTCCATCCACCATTTCACTGCCAGAGCTGCCATCGAGGCCTCCCATGCAGCTGCAGGGTGCCCGAGAATTTAGGCCAGCCTTCCCTGCTTTCCCAGCACATCAGCCAAGAGCTAGACGGGCAGTGGGGCAGCCGGGACACACACCAGTGCCCACACAGGATGCCAGCACCACAGGTGGTGAGTCTACCATGCCACGGGCACCACACCAGCCCCCTACAGTCACGTCTTCTGTGGTTAAGATTTTTGGAGGGATCTTCATAACACACACACGATTTCATGGATTCTGTCAAACTCCAATATTACTGGCTGGACTCTGTTCCCCCTTCCAATTCCTATGTTGAGTTCCTATACCTCCTGTGCCCCAAATGTGCCCTCATTTGGAAAGTCTCTACAGAGGCGGTCAAGTTACACTGCAATCATTGGGGTGGGCCCTGATCCATTCTCATTGGGGTCTTTAGATAAAGGGGCAACAACGTAGAGGCACACACCCATTGGGAGACAGCACCAGGGCTCCTGGGAAGCTGGGTACCTGAGAGCCCTAGGAAGCCTGACAAGGATGCTGAGACAGTGTGACAAGTGGTCCTGTGGCGACAGGACATCCAGATGCAGAAGAAAGAACGTGGGCTTCCAAGCTCAGAAAATCCAAGAGTCAAAACCACAGAAACCTGAGTGAAACACAGAGCTAAGTCGTCAGAGCGTGGGTTCTGTACTGGCTTATCAGATGAGACACCACAGGCACACGTGCCGGAGAAAAAACAGTAATAAACCCGGCTTCATGAAAACAAAGACCACCAAAGCGATGAACGGGACTTCTGACACGGTGTCCCTGTCAAAGGGCTTGTTCCCAGAATACACACAAAATCCTTGCGACTCCATCATAAAAAGTCCAAGGACTCTGCTTTAAAATACACTCAGGAATATGAGCGGACATTTGTGCTGAGAAAATACATGAGTGGCTGACGCACGTGTGACAAGATGCTCGACTTCACTGCCCACCCCACCAACGCACCACTGGAAACGACAGGGCGGAAGATGCTTCGATACCGAATCTCCCAGTCACTGACCCAGGCCCTACTGTCCTCGCACCGTACGCTGCGTGCTCACCTGCCTCAAGTTCCTCTTGCCCCCAGAGCTGTGAGTGGAGACAGAGTCGACAGGACAGATGTGTGGCACACACACGAGCCACGGGGCTAGGGGAAGGTGGGGTCCACGGCCTCATGACGCTCGGCACGCCATGGGCTTGGGGACGCCTGTGCACCTGTAAAGCTGATGGCCGACACGGGCCACGGGGTGGGCTATGCTTGGGTCCATTTCCAGCAGCAGGTTCCGCTGCACAGGGGCACAAAGGGGTGTTTTTCCTTCCCGAGTCTAACGAGAAGCACTGCCCCCGTGTCTTTCGCAAATACATTCCAGACACGTTTGTGCCAAGCAACGAGGGAGAGGCCAGTAGGCCATGCTTGCTGCTAGGCTGGTGCCCAGGCAGCGTGCACATGGCCATCACACGGCCTCGCCTGGGTGTCAGCCCTCATGGGGCGTGTCCCCCACAGCTCACCGCTGCCCTGAGATCTCGGTGGGGCGGTAGTGACAGCAGGAAATCACCGCCTCACCCCGGGGTGGTGGTTTCAGTCTTTCTCAACTTCTCTGGTGTGGTTTAAAAACCTCTCCAGCTGGGACACTGACACACACCCTCCCCCACTGCAAAGCCTGTACCCGCATCGCACGTGTCCCGCGGTGGACAGTCCCCGGCTGGCACCACGAGCCACTCACCAGGGTGACGATGGCGCACTCGGCCGTCAGCTGGGCCGCACTGAACAGGGTCCGCACAAACCGGTAGATCTGCTTCTGCTCTGGGCTGTGCCTGTCGTAGTCGGGCGGTACTTCGGATTTCTGCGGGAGTCGGGAGGGGAATGAAGGGAGTTGGGGGGGGGTTGAGGTGACTGCTCACCCGACAGAGGCAAAAGGGGAAACCCCCCACCCGGCCCACTAAGCCCGAGGGACGGAGGGGGAGATTACCGAGAGAGGGTGAAGGTTTTCATCAAAAATATCTAAGAGCATCCTTCCATCTGAGTCCCTGGGGAGGAAGACAACAGGAAAATGGGGTTACTTCTGCAGGAATTCGGGGCGTTCTCTGTGAGACAAGACACAGGCTCTCTTCCCATCTGCTGAATCTCAAGGAGCAGAGCGGCCTATGGAAATGCTACCATACACTCACAACAGCTTATTTTATTCCCGAAAATATTTTTAAAGCTATTTTTATTGGAAAGGCAGAGTCACAGAGAGAGAGAGGAGAGACACAGAGGGTGATCTTGTATCTCCCGATTCATGCCCCAAATGGTCACAACAGCCAGTCCAAGACCAGGAGCCAAGAGCTTCACTCAGGTCCCCCATGTGAGCGCAGGGGACCAAGAACCCAGGCCATCTTCCACTGCTTTCCCAGGACATTAGCAGGGAGCTGGATGGGAAGTGGAGAAGCTGGGACTCTAACCAGCATCCATACAGAATGCCAGTGCCACATCTTGAAGTTTAGCTTGCTATGTCACAGCATCAGTCCCGCTGGGTGCAGTCTTTAGCCATTCTGTTTGAATAGCCAATGGAAATGATGGCCTGGACCACATTTAGTTAAGACACAAGACCAGACCCTCGTCCAGAGCTTGCCATCAGACGGGATCTCAGGAGATGCCTCAGAAAATTCTCACAGCATTGCATCCTAATGGCTGAGCAAAGGCTGAAGCGCCCCTTGGCAACATCATCGCCACCTTCTGGTCGGCGGTGCGAATTACAACCTGCCCCTCTTGACAGCTCAGCATTGCAAATGCAAACAGGGCTGAGTGAAAAGGCTTGAAGAAAGGCAGGTGCAAAGAGCCAGGACCAGGGAGGGGCTCTCCCTGACGGCCCAGTGTTTAGGACAAGTACCCGCCCATCACCATGCCGACCTGTCAAGTTTTGTCTGAAAACTTGTCTGAAACAATCAGACTGGGAAGCCATCGTCCGGGTGCCCAGGGACATTCAGTAAGTGCCTTGCCAGTGGGGCCTAGGATGCGAGAGACCACACAAGCTGTCCCAGGACATGGCCATCCCGGACAATGGCTCAACGCTCACTTTACGAATTAAAACACGGAAAGCCTAATGAGACAGTTCAGTTTTCCTCTCCGACATCTGCAGGGCAGGAGCCAGCTGCAAAGCTGCGGCCGTTCGGCTGTGCTTGCTGCACACAGAACAGCTGGGATGCAGAGGACCAAGGGTGAGCCCCGGCAGCTTCTGAGCACAAAGGGGCTGCCCCTTCTGGGTCCGCCAGGTGGCTGACCTCCTTCCGGTCATCCACACTCACCGGGAGGCAGCTTCAGTCTGTCCCACTCTGGGTCACATTGCTTGCTGGTGTTTATCACACAACATACCTAAACACCCCTGGCTGTGCCCAGGTGGCTGTTCTTAGGAATGAGAAAGATGCTCTGGAGAGCACACACCAAAGGGAATCACCAACCCTCATTTCCTCTCTGCAAAAAATCTGTTGTCCATTAGGTGTGTGGCCAAGATGGGAGAAGCTGGGCTTTGCAAATGTCTTTTTAAGTTTTCTCACTGTTAGGAAAAATAAAACCATTTAGGAAGGACAACCTCAAGGTGTGAAAGAGACTGCAGGTACTCTGATGAAGTCCCCATGCTTGGAGCCCAAGTCTCAATGTCGCAGTAAAAAAAAGTTGGGGGGGGAGGGACAAATGGATGCGATTTCACGTTTTATATAGAAATAAACATCGAAGGCCGCTACTCCCTGCAGGAACGGAATTCAGTTAGCTGAATTATGACTTCCAGGACGCTTCCTTTCAACAGCTGAAAGGGACACCAAAGTTTAGCTGGCTCCAAGTGATGTGCACGCCGTAAGCTGCAGCTGTACCTGGCAGGTGCTTCAGCGGCCATCATGTACGAGACGGGGTGGAAGGCAAGCATGCAGAGCACCCAGGGAAGAGGGGCGGCCGGCCGGGCTCCACCCCGCTGCCTTCCCCTGCCACACACACCCGGCTGCTTCGGATTCACACCTTTTGCTACCTTTAGAAACTCCACTGCGTCAGGAGTCAAGAGTACAGAACTCGGAACGCTGCGCCGAGTACAACAACAACAAGGAAAAAATAAAACCGGGAGAAGCACGACAGAAGAAGCGAATGAAATCTCCACATACCTGTTCTTGATGTGGTAATATATTGCAAGAGCTACACTGTAAAACAAGAAGCAGAATTTCAATGTTTCCAGACACAGACATTCGCGCTCCAGTGAAAGGCTCAACCGCCCAGCTCGTGACGCCATCTTCATTGCAATGAGCAAGAACACAACCCCTTCCAATGACAGAAACCTGCATCTCGGGAACCCTCAGAGCCCTGCCCTGGTGACCGCTCTGCTGCAAATGCTGACAATCAAATCGCTTCGGGAACCGTCAATTCGTCACCCACCAGCTTAGCTAACTAGCAGTTTCCCCGTCACTAACCCACGGCGCTTGGCCGGTCCTCTGCTTCAGCACTGTCTCACAATGCACAAGACTCAGCCATTCACTTGCTGAAAATGGCTCGTTGACTTTTATTTGTAGCACAACCTGTATTTTTATTTTCCATTCCGAATGATCTGAATTTGATGATTTATATTCTATTCACCTGAACTTTCTTTAAAAAGTTTTTCTCCCTAACTATAATATACTTTATGATTATTTCAGTAGGCCTTTTGAGAAACGCAAGAAACATGAAGAAAAATAACCCCTTTTCCCAAAGGACGTCTGGCATGGAGAATCACTGGTCTATAAACTGTGTACATGAGCAGGCGGACATCCCTTTAGCATCACGCTAGCAGTTTTCTGATCATTAAGACATTCTTCAAAAACCATGACTCTAAATGGCTAACTGTAACACTTAACATGGCTGTTGGTGTGGTTAACTTAACCTCGGGCTTCTAGGTTGCTACCGAACACTCAGCACTTATAAACACGCAGTGAACATCTTCACAAATGCTTGCAGAGATTATGTTACCTTTATTCTTTCGCCTCAAATTACTCGAGCCCCCGGCAAGCTGCGAGGTGCCCAACACACACGGCCTTGCAGCTCTACAAAGAGCAGCACAGCGTGGGCCTTGCACAGATCTTCCCACCTCGCACCCGCTCAGAGCCACCCGCACCCACCTGGGATGTGTCTGCAAAAATGTTCTCCAGCTGGACGGGTTAAAGAGGGTACTTTGATTCAAACCGAGGTTTTTAAGATCAATTTTTATTCATTGGAAAGAGTCACAGAGAGAAAGATTCTCCATCTGCTGGTTTGTTCCTTAAATGGCTGCAATGGATGGGGCTCTTTCGGGAGCCAAGGGCTTCACCCAGGTCTCCCACATGGGTGCAGGGGCCCAAGCATGTGGGCCATCCTCCGCTGCTTTCCCAGGCACGTCAGCAGGGAGCTGATCAGAAGTGGAGCAGCTGCGTCTTGAAGAGGGCTGCTAGTGTTGCAGCTGGTGGCTGAACCCGCTGTGCCACAGTACCAGCCGCTCACACCAAACTTCCAAGCTCACCTATCAGGTGGGCTGAGTGGTTCACACCGACTTCCCAGGCGTCCCTCCTTTCCTCTGGTTCCTGGCTCCATTCTTCTGTGTGCAACATGTCCTGAGCATCTCGGAGTGTAGCTCACGGGCTCCGCCAGACCATGCTGTGGTTCACCCAGAGCAAGCAACCAACACGTGGGAATGCAAGGTGGACACAGACGAGTCTGTCCCCAGCCGCCTCCTCCTCCCCCCCGGGAGGCTCCAGCTGGGCAGCCCGTGGGCTTGCGGTCTGCCTGGGGCGCAGCAGGCAGCAGGCAGCAGGCAGCCACCCCCCACCGTACTCCTGGCCTTCCAGACCTCTTCGTTCCATCTTTCCCCCGACTCCCAGAGCGTCCAGGCTGAGGAGCAAGCCAACCGGTGTCAAAGGACTTTGCGGTTGAAAACAGAGAAGGCGATCAGGTTAAGTTTTTCTTTTTCTACGGAATAGCAGACGTGTGTGATCCTGCTTGACAATCGGAGACGCCACTTCTGACAGCAGGTGCAAGGCTGGCTGATTTGGGTGGAGGCTTCCCGAGCTCTTTTGCTCGGCCACCTTCCTCTGAGACTGCGATGGTTAAGTTTTCATCCCTGACCTGCTAGTTCCAGTGAGAGCACTGGATCCAGGCTGGACCTCCCTGGGCCCAAGGCCACAGCAGTGGTGTTCGAGGCCTGACTCCTTTGTTCAGTTAATCCATCCTTCCTCCACAGCGCGGGGAACAGACGGCTCCTTGTTACACACCGGCTGTGAGTCACATGAAACATCAGCTCAGAAGAAAGTGTCAGAGACGGAGACTGTCCTTCTCTACCCACAGGTCTGGCTCCTCCTGATCCGTGAGCATCCTCCGGACCAGCCGTTCCCCATCTCCTTGGCCCAAAGCAACACCCAACATAATGGCAGCTGCCAGTAGCCATGCCAAGGCAAGTGGGATCACTCAGCTGAGCAAGCTGCCCCTGCCTGGCCAACCTGGCTGCCTGCCATCCCGAGCGCAGGAAGGGGACCCGTGAGCTGAGTGAGCATAGAGCTAGGCCTCCCTCCAGGGCCCCGGCTGGCTGGTGCTGACAGGGCCTCGGGAGGCTGGCAGCATTTTTTTTCCCCAAGGGATGGGTTGGAGCCAAGCAGTGGACGAATCCACCAGAGGGAAGAGGGAGTGTTCACAGCTGGGAGCTGGGAAGGCGCAAAACAGCCAGGGCGTCCTGGGTTGCTTACATGGCAACCGCCTTGCTTCTCACTTTCAGCTGAATTAGGAATGCACCCCATGACCCTAAAACCTACAGATGCTACAGTGCAGGGGGGCCACCCCATGGCAGTCAGGTAGAGGACAACAGCTGGCCAGTAGCACCTTTCACTGCTCTTGGCTCAGTGCCCCCTCAACTCACAGAGGGTGAGGGGGCTGGGAGCAAACGTGAAACCCTCAGCCACTGCCGTCAAGCTTCAGGCAAGTCCCGGTGGTGTCCAGGTAAGAAACCCCACCCGTGGGGAGACAGGCATGGCTAAGGCTGCCAACTGCCTTGACCTTCTCTTTCATCGTGAGCCACGAGCTCACCCCTCCAGCCCACCAACTGTGTCACCTTTGGGCCACCAAAGCTTGGCTCAGACATGGCCTCCTGAGGACCGGGAGCATTCCCTTACAGTGGCAGGACTCGATCCCAGCAGAGACACTCCCAGTGACACAGGACCTCGGCAGCTGCAACCTCATGGCTTCTAATAGCCAGGAGGCTTGAGGGTCTGGAACTAGGGCAGGCGAGGGTAGGGAGTGGACAGTGGGAGTTTGCTGCTGACAGGAGCAGGGTGCCCTGCACTGGGCTGCCATTGGGGTGTAGCATCTTACTGCCCGCTCTCTACACTCCTCTCCCTTCCGCAGGCCCCCACCCCAAGTCCCCTGGCAGTGTGCGGCAGCCATGGTATCCACAGGGACATCCGGTCTTTGCAGTCGGCTCATTTGCTGCGGCGGACTCACACGGCCCCTGCTTCCTCAGGGAGAGCAGGGAAGACAGTGCTGGAGACAGGGGCAGCCAGCAGCCCCGGGCTCAAGCAGACGCTGACAGGGTTCAAATCCCGGCTCTCCAGGTTGCTCCTCCAGGCTTGATATCACCTTCCAGAAAACACCTTTCCAGAGGTGCCGCAGCCAAGTCCAGCCCGGGCCAAGCTCTCGCACACACACAGACACACACACACACACACCCTGCACAGCAGGCTGCACTGCCACCTGGAACTGCAGGGACATGGAGGAGGCAGGAACCTGGACATCACAGCAAGGGGACTGCACACTTTCTGGGGGCTCCAGACTGGAGGCTGGGGTGCCATCCTCACTTCCGTGTGACGGGTACTTGTCATGGAATAATTCTTACACAGAAACCTGAGCATGACTTCACACGCTAAGTGCAGGGCTGTTAAAGGAGTCACGTCTTTTAAGACAGAAATAAATCATGGGGGAGCCGTGGACCCGGCAGCTCTGCGACCACTGGCCAGTGTGACGGCTATCGCAGCCCCACTAGGATACGGCAGGGAAGCATGTTCCCCAGCTCTTACAACAAGGAGCCCTCCGTGTGTCCTACCATGTCCCAGAGAAGCCCCCTGGCCACCCAGCCAGCCAGCCCCTTAGTGGAGCGTGCCAGGGGTCAGAGCTCAGGCCTGCGGGCACCCGCGTGTTCCTCCGCCCAAGATGCTCTCGGCTGGAGCCTTGGGTCTTGGCCTGGCAGCACAAGAACCTCCCTTATATGCAAGTACTCATGTAGTTACTCACTAAGCCAGGCATGGCTTCCCTGGGGGAAAAGGGTGAAAAGCAGGTGTGGATGACAGACACCCGTCGCCTAGGCAATGCTTAAAAATTATTTCCAGTGTTGTACCCTTCTAAGCCAGAAGCACTCTGTAAAGGTGATTTCGAGTTCCCCCACATCGTAAATACCAGCAGCACTTGTTCAGAAAGGTGCCCTGCATGCTCCGTGCTTCCTGCCCCCAGCCCGATCGTTCCCCAGCCCCCACCGTGCCAGACCCAGGTAAAGGAGCGGCAGAGGTGCGCAGGGAAGCCAAGGTGTCCGCATACCCACCATTTAATTGTATACTTGAGGTTCGGTTGACTGACTGTGCTATCATCTAGGAAAATAGTGGAACAGGAGCTGTATTTCCTCGCTATTTGTCCTGGAGGGTGCTGGAAAACAAGGGCGACAAGACAGAGACAGGTTACTTGGGCAGTGCCGGGACGGGGGTCGGGGCTGTTCCCCCTCATCCCAGCCTGCAGCCCCACCCCAAAGACTCGACACCAACCGCGACTCGGTGTGGCTGTCACAAAGGAACGGATGTCGCTATTGCCCCGGGGCCCAAGGTCCTTCGGATAGATGGTGAAAACGGGGAGCTCACGGCAGGGTGTGGCAGGCTGCACCTGCCCCGTGCCTGTGTGGGGCACGGAGGGGAAGCCTGCGGCCAACCCAGCCGGCCATCTGCCTTGAAGGCGCTGAGATTCAGACGAGGGTGTGTGGTTGTTCACTCACTCGTGGGCTCTGCCTGGCTTGGAGCAGGGAGCAGGGCCACGCGGAACACAGCCCAGCTTAGTCGGACTATCTCTTACACCACTGGAATCTTAGCAGTTGAACGTCTTAAAGCAATGGGGGGAAAACGTTTTCCTTTGTTGGGGCAAGATGCATTTTAAAGAGGAAACGTAGCTGACACTGTTGGAAATACAGCCTCTGGGTGGCCTTTAGGCAGCGTGGGTGTGCAGTGCTGTGGCCAGAGAGGGAGAGACAGAGATCCTCTGTCTGCTGCTTCACTCCTCAAAACTGCCACGACAGTGGAGGCTGGGCCAGGACAGAAGCCAGAGCCCGGGGCTCCATTCACGTCCCCCACACATGTGGCAGGGGGCCAAGCACCCAGACGCACCAACGGGGAGGTGGACTGGATGAGAATCGAGCCCCTATGAGCTGCTAACTGATGCGGCCGGTAGCTTTAATCCCCCGAGTCACGGCACTGGCCCCTAAGACTCATTTTTCTCAACAGGACAAGAGCTTTGGGTTCTGGGGAGAACTGCGGGACAGAATTCTACTTCCAAAATGGAGTGGAAAGGGAGTGGTATCGTTTACATTCTGATGACACCCAAACACTCGGCAGACCGCTGGGCAGCAAAGGCAGACGACGGGCGACAAAACAGAGACAGGCTGCCTGGGTGGCGAGCAAAAACCACAATGTGGACAAGCCATGTGTCTCCCACAGCAACTAAAAAACACAGGTTCGCTGGGAATCACAGAAACACCTGCCTCACCTGCCCAACCTCCAACAAAACTGAGATCCAAAAGGCACGGACTTAGCAAAGGAAACATGAAGGTTCATTATGCCACAGCCACTTGTGTGTGCCAAGATATCCTTACACCCGAATGAGGTCAGACTGGTGACAATTCGGACACCCAGTTCCTCACGTGGCCGCTAGAGGGCACTGCAGCCTGAGGCAGCCTGCTGCTCGTCCCTCCCCAGGCTCTGCTCCTTTTACACCAACAGGTGTGGGACCCACAACCACAATGAGGAAATGCAGACGCCAGGTGTCTCCCGGGCATCTCTTCCTAAGCTGACACCTCCATGTGTCTGTAGGGCGACAGGACACGGTCCCAGCAAACCTGGTGGCATTTTCACATCTTTAGAAATAATCACCTCTACTGAATGAATTACACTGTTCACAGCACATCATTCTGAAAGCATTCATACCCGGTCTTTCTCTTTCTTGCTCTTACAGCAATCACCCCGAAGTCACACAGTACATACATATCGTACAGTTCTAACGGCAGCTCTTGGGGGTGGGGTGGTGAGCTTTCCCAGCCGTTCCCAGGTGACTGCAAGCAGACCTCCAGCTGACATCACCCACATGGACACCCAGGGTCCAGAGGATGTCCCAGGAGACCTTCAGAGAGGCAGCCAAGCCCCAGGGAGGTGCCGGGGAGGTCGACGTGCATTCCTATTACCCCCTGTGGTTTCCACTATTTCCGCTGTAATGGCCCCTTTGGGATTAAAATGTGCAAGGAATTACAGAAGGGAAAAAAAAAATGCAGCCAGAAAGGGAGAGAAGGGCCAGAGATGATCTCTGGAAGCTAAGGACAGCCCCAGGAGTCTGAGAGCTACTGCAAAGCCAGCCACCCGAGGGACAAGGGTCCAAGGGTCGTGGCCCAGATTGTCCCCAGGGCTGGTCTGCATGCGTCATAACCCAGTGCCTTAGCTTTCCGGGGAGATGCCAAGCCCACTTCCAGGCACTAACTGAAACCCCACAGCTGGCATGTTACCAGGATGTTTGGCTTCAGTGCACACGCTCTGACCACCTCCCGGGCACAAAGCCACTTGCTGGACGTTGGGACGACCACCACTACGGGGCTTCTCCCAAGTTCCCAAACAGACGGGGACAACCCTGACACTGCAGTGTGCGAAAGCAGCAGGGCCCCGTGCGGCCACAGCGGGCGGTGACTAGGCACCAAGGAGCAAGACCTAGACACATGCTGGGACGAAATGTGGGGCATTCCCCCTGAATGCCGGCAATAGCCGGGGCTGGGCCAGGCAGAAGCCGGGAGTCATGAAGCCCAGCTGGGTCTCCCACGACGGTGCGAGGGTCCAAGGCCTCGGACCATTTTCTGTGCTTTTTTTTTTTCTTGGTGCATTAGCAGGGATCTGGGTGGGAAGTGGAGCACCCAGGCAGCAGGCAGGCGACACAGGTGGCACGATGCCGGCCTCCTGGGTCTACTTTCACAAAGGCTTTGTGTCCCTTTTCAGACTTCACTTCCTATCTCCCTGCCCCAGAGGCCCCAGAGCCAGACAGAAAAGCTGAAAGCCAAGGGATTATAGCAGTGAGGTCCCAAGTGACAATGCATGGCACAGAGGGTACTGCAGCACACGGAGCTGAGGGCCCACCCGGCCAGGATCGGGGCGCTCTGAGCCCAGCGGCAACTGGGTGGCCCGTGCCCTCTGATTCCAGGATGACATCTCACAAGTGTGTGACCCAAGAATAGGCTTCAAACACAGGAGCTCCCACGGGACAACAGGCTGGGAGTTGTGTAAATACAACCCAGCAACGAGCCAGTGGCCCCTTCTCCGTGAGCCTGGACAGACACTGGGGAAGCCACACCCCCTGCCGGCCCGGCCCACTGGCCTCCGACAAGCCAGTCCACCTTCCTGGGGCCACGTCCTCCTCTGTGCCTCTCAAGGGAAAGAAGGCAGGCTGGGCACCGGCCAGGTCGGGAGAGTCTCCAAGTCCCAGCAGGGTGAAGGGGTCCACACACACCCCACCTGTGCTGGCAGTGAGAGGCTCGATTAGAGGGAGGGAGAGAAGCAAAGATATAAGGAATGATTTAAATGGAGGAGCAGGAAGGAGAAGGCGCCGAAGCAGGCACGAGGCCTCCGCACCCATCAGAGGCAGGTGCCCAGGCTCTCTGGCGGCATGAGAAGCCCACGCTCCAGCACACGGCTCTGCTGAAAGGATTTCAAAAGCAGAGCGGGCTTCTTTCATCCTGCTGGATCTCCACTTTGTTGCTGAGGTCCAGCTCGGTCCTCATCCTCCTCACCACACAGGGCAGGCACGAGGCTCCATGACGCTCACCACACCCCTGCTGCATTAACCAGGAATCTCCCCGAGACGAACCAGGGTGCCGGCTGTGAAAGCCCCGCGCTCTGGATCCAGCTCACTTAACCGTCCATGTTCATGGCTGCAGCGGACGAGCAGAACCCAAACAGGACCTATGCTACAAGGAATCCCACTTCCCTCTCATGCAAAGCTCAAATGAAGAAATCAATTCCAAACTGTTCTGTTTAAGAAGAGCAGACACAGGACTGGAGGGTTATGCCTCTGCCTGCAGCAGCAGCACAGGTTTGAATCCTGGCTGCTCCCCTTCCAATCCAGCTCCCTGTGGATGCACCTGGGAAGGCAGGGGAGGCCACAGTGCTTGGGCCCCTGTCACCCACATGGGAGACCTGCTGGAGCTCCAGGCTCCTGACCTCAACCCAACCCAGCCCCCAGCACTGGAGCCTTCTGCTAAGTGAACCAGAATATGGAAGATACAATTCTATTCTCGCTCCCTGTACTTTTCAAATGATAAACAAACAAATCTTCAAAAACAAAAAACAGACACTACTCAAGTGAGTACTTCCAAGGAAGGAATCCTGAGTCTTGATAATTATGGTAAAAGCATATATATCCTCACTCGAGACACCAGAGACCACCACTGGGGCTGATACTGAACCTGGAAAATCACATGCAATTTACCTGAATCCAGTGACAACATATTAACGCTGTGCCGTTGGGCACTTGGTACACCGCCATCCATCCATTACCCAGGGCAGTGTGGTCGGGAGACAAACCAGCTGAGACAGAAAGACCTCCCAGGGTCTTCCTCCTGGAAGAACAGGGGCCTTCTGGCTCCCAGGTCAGCAAACCCTGTGGCTTCTGCTTGCCTGGAGAGACAAACTCTTCATGTGCTTCATTTCCCTGCAAAGTTCTTACATGTGTCACCCCTCCTTATTCCACAGGGCATGATGGCAAATGAGCCGGGACTTGGTTTTTCCCCTAAGTTCTCAGCAATGCTGTCACCAAGTGGCGGGATGATGCTCCCAAAACCAGACGAAGGCCAGAGTCCTCCCAGGCTGACCCTGAGCCTTAGGAGCCGTCAACACGCTACTTACAATATGTAAGACATCTCTGTATTCTAGATGACTTACTAGAAAACAAGTAAAAAAAAAAAAAAAAAAAAAGGCTGGGCTGAGCTGGGCGGCCCAGCTCCTGGTCTCTCGGTCTCTTCTTTCCCCTCCATGTCAACAGTGAGGACGGCCTGGCTGGCAGACATACTGTTGAGTGTGAAAGCCGCAGAATGGAAGCCGCAGAAATGGAAGCAAGGATTAAGACAGAATTAGCTGCTGCCAGCCAAGGTCCTTATACTGAGAATATACTTCTTCAAAAAGAAGAAGAAGAAGAAAAGAAAGGGGAAAGGAGGGGAGGGGAGAGAGAGAAGGAAGGTGAGAGAGGAGAAGAATGGAAGAAAAACAAAAGTCTGGGCTCAACGCAGTGGCTCAACTGCATAATCTTCCCCTTGCAAGTTGCCAGGACCCCATATGGGCACCAGTTTGTGCTCCACTTCCCATCCAGAACCTGCTTGTGTTGTGGCAACGCAGCTAAGATGGCTTAAAGCCTTGAGATCCTGCACCTGCATAGGGGACCCGGAGGAGGCTCGTGGCTCCTGGCTTTGGTCAGCTCAGCTCCGGTCACTGTGATCATTTCAGGAGTGAATCAGCAGATGGAAGATGTTTGTCTCTGTATCTCTGTGTCTCCTTCCCTCTATAAATCTGCCTTTCTTTATTTTTAAGAATAAATCTTGGGGGGGGGGAAGGCTTAAAAAAACAAAAGCAACAAAACTCAAAAAGCAACAAAACAGAGCATAGCCATTTTCACTATCTTTTGATGACATATACAAGGAGACTTCAAAAACTCTGTGGAACTGGAATGAATAAAGAGGCCAGTTTCCTTGGAGATGAATTATTTTGGCATCCATGCAAACAGAGTTATCTTTCCATGCCCTAAGTGGTATTTATTTCTTTTTCTTCTGCACCAAAACAGATGTTATTTTAATTCCATTTTCCACCAACTTCTCCGGGGACCCTTGCACCGATTTTGCAGGGGTATTCTGTCCATGCTTTGTCATCTGGGTCCAGGGAGGAGACCACACGTTGTGAAACGTGTGCACACACACACCCCCAAGGTCAGCACGCTTCCCTGAAGGGCAAGGATCCGGCTACGGACTTCTCTCTCTCACTGCATCCTGTCCAGATTTGAAAGGCTAAGGAATACAACAGCATAAAGTCTCTTTCACGAATGGTTTTAGGGCCAAGTCGCTCAAGGCTTGCAAACACTTAAATGCGGAACATCGAACAAATCCAAAAACCTCTGGGAAGTTGAGGTGCATCACCCTGGCTTCCAGCACACACTTAGCTGGATGATTCCCAACTCCATGCCTCCTGCAGGGGAGTCTTCTAAAGAGAGGAGAGGGAGGGCTGGATGGAGTATGTCTGGGAGGCAGACACACTGGCAGGGCTTGCTGTGGAGCTGAGGTGCCAGCAGGATGCCTCTGTTGCTCAACGCAATAGAAGGATGAGGTATCTTCATGGACACCCTGCCCTTGGCCACCAACTGTAACACAACCCATTCTGGAGACTGCAGGTGAGTTTTGGAAAACCCTCTGAAATCTAATGAGTTGGCAAGTTCATCCTCTTTCTTTGAGCACTGACAGTATGCAGACTCTCCCAGACCTAACACATGACAGCCGAGCACAGGAGAGTATGTGTGTGTGTGTGTGTGTACAGGCACAGAGCTTTGGAAAAATTCATTTCTATTCCAAGAAGGAGCAATGTGGACATGTGGCTAGGTGTGGAGCAGGAAAGGCCATCTGCGCCTGCGTGGCTTCCACAGAGACGGCCCTGCGGCTGCCACCTTCCTCCCGCGACCAGCAGCAGACCGGGCAAAGCATCTGCATGGTGCGTCAACAATGAGCGACAGCTGTCCGAGTGACGGTCCCCACGGAGCCTAAACACACTGGGTCATTCTTCACCCTGGGACACCCGGCTCCCTCAAGCTCTCAACCAGAGGGACACAGCTTCACTTACGTGGTTAATGAAGAGACTCTTGCGCTTTTCTCTCACTGTGGAGACAAAAGATGTGACAGAAATGTTACACTCCTGCACTCCGGTCGCACCACCCCGCCCTCACAGGGTGCTGAGGACTGGAGCCTCTGGGTGGTGGTCCCTGCCCTCCCACCGGCCAGCTCAAGTCCAGGCTGCTCCTTCACTGGACATGGGAGCATGGGAGCTGCACAGGTGCCAGGGGGAGTGTGGCGAGCAGAGGAAAAGGTCCCTTGAGCCTTCATCATGCAGCCTAGTGGTCGGGCACTTGGAGCAATGACAATGGGCGACACAGTCCCAATGGTTCTATGCAGTATGAGCCAGTAGGTCTTATAAGACTTGTTAATGCCATGCTTGTGATGACTAGCTGGCGGACAGTACTGTCTCTCTCTGACTCATCCAGGCCCTGGGAGCGACACATAAATGACCACACCAGCACAAAGATACCACAAGCAGACAGGCCAGGGTTGGTGGGGGTGTGGAGTGCTGCCAAGCAAGGGCTGGTGTCTTCTGTCCCCCAGGGCCCTCAGGGACACTGACCAACCAGCCCCACTCCCTCCAAGTGGAAGGCTTCTCTCCTCTGCGTGCCCCCGGGCCTGTCCCTGGGGCTCGGGACCGCGGTGTTTGTTGGGATTGACAGGAACTCACAGCCCCTGAGAGAACAAAGGCTGACAGGGCAAGCAGAGGGACTCACAGCAGCTTCGTGTTGTCATCACACACATTCCCCACCCCAAAGGACTGGCTTTTGTGGGTGTGTGCTGATCCAGCCACGGAGGTGACGGCAGTGGGTGGGAAGAAGGAATGACCTGCAAACGAGACAACCTCGAGGCCCTCAGACCCTCCGCTTCAGGTCACCCCAGAAACGGTCTCCCATCATCCACCTTCGGTTCTCTCTCAGATTCGCAAGGGAAGACTTCTCAACAACAGAAGCACCCCCTCCTCTAGCCACCGTCCCCCCTCTGATCTCAAGCACACAAGAGCAAAACTGAAGCCCAGGGACGTCTGGGCGTGTGGGGGACAGACAGACATCTCTGTGGGTGTGGTCACTGGACAAAGAGCAGCACCCCTCGAGCGTGAGGATGCGGCAGCAGTGAAGTGCTGTGCGCCACGCACACTGCGCACACCGCTGGGCCACTTCCAGCCCAGGGGGGTCTTGCCAGGAGCACAGCGTGTCAGCCTCCTGCATGAGTGCACACACACCTGCTCGCCTTAGCTCAGTACCAAGATGCTCAGTGTGCAGACCGAGACCGGGTGAGAGGAGGCTTCCGTGGTGGGTCCCCACTGAGGGCAGGAGTGGATGTAGAGCCCAGACCTGACAGGGGTCCCTGCACACCTGGTGGACGACACCCTGCCCTTCAGGAGCAGCCCAATGGCAGCACCGTGCAACACAGAGCCCTACCCCAGGGTCAGCCCCACACCCTGCACCTGGGCTCCTGTGGGCTCCCACCACAGACAGCAGGTACCCTTGCCTCAAGAACTCTCCCTCACACAGCAGGGAGGGCCCTGAACCTCCAGGGCTAACTCCACATCTCACCAGGCTTATGACAAAGATGAGGCTCTCAGATCTCACCTCCAAGGGTCAATCCTGCGAAGGAACCAAGCAAGCTTGTTTCTTTTGGTTTGGTTTGGTTTGGTTTCCCCCACTCCCCCATAACCCTGGCTGGTTCCAATCTGAATGGAAAGGGAAAAAAATCTGAGGCTATTATGATTGCCTAATTGGCTGACCTTCCACCTGCAAGTGCCAGCATCCCATATGGGCGCCATGTCCCAGCTGCTCCATTTCTCCAGCTCCCTGCTTGTGGCCTGGGAAAGCACTGGAGGACAGCCCAAAGCCTTGGGACCCTGTGCCACTGCAGCCATTTGGGGAGTGAACCAGAAAATCAAAACGCATGCTGTGTGTGTGTGTGTGTATGTGTGTGTGTGTGTGTGTGTGTCAGTGTCTCTTTCTCTCTGTATATCTGCCTTTCCAACAAAAATAAATAAATCTAAAGAGGGGGGAGGATCTCAGGATCTATATTTGTTACAGAATCTTGCAGGCATTCGATACCTTCACATTTTAAACATGTACACAGTCCTCCCAGAGAATCAGGGAGTGTGAGGGGAACCCTGGATACTCCCTGCCTGGCATGGTCCCATGCCAGGTTCCCTGCATCACCCTGCATGGCTGACGGGCATGGTTCCAGAGGGAGCTCTCCCCGGGCATCCTGGAAGGCCCCTCTGAGGGCCGAGCTGAGCCCTGCCCTGTGGCCACGCTGCCGAAGTGCAGGAACTCCCCAGCCCTCACAGGGCTGGGAGCCCGAAGGGCAGACAGACCCGCTGGCGATGCTGGTCTTGCCCCGCGGGCCTTGGCCACACTCCCCACCAGGCAGGATGCGATGCGGCAGCTTTGCCTGCCAGCCTGGGAATTTGAGACTTCAGGAGAGTTCCTGGCCACTCCAAACTAAAGAAAACAGCTTAGGCAGGAATGACAAGAACTGAGTTACCAAGGCTATGCAGCCTCCATGGAAATCCAAGGCCGTGAACCAGCTGTGAAGCCACCAGGTCACTCCTAACCGTCAGCTGAACCAGATCGCCCTAAAACCTCAAATATCTGGTCACTCATGACCCATCACTCAAAACGTCCCGGTTGCGCAGGGTTCGCACGTAGCAGGGTGTGCTAATGGTTGCACTGTGTTTTGATTGGGAAATGGGTAAACTGGTGCCGGTGTTGAAAAGAATCTCATCTTTCTGGGCAGAAGGGAAGTAGGTTTTCCTTGGATTCAGACTCAGGCGAGTCTTCTGCGAGGGTCTGGAACTGGCTTCAGTGAGGGTCCCCCAGGTCTTCAGCAAAAAAACCACAGTAGCGGCTTCCTAAGAAGATCTACCTGATCAACACAGGTACAAAGTTGGGGGCAGCAGAAGACATCTCCAGAGAAAAAGGGGGGTGGGGAGCAGGGGGGCAGTGTTCCCCACCCCCACGCACCATAAGGACAGCAGTCCCCAGAGAAGACCCTGGGGCTTACACAGGGTGTGCTACACGGGACGGCACAAGGAAGCTTCCACGTCCCAGGCAGAACCAGACAATTTCACCTGGAGATTGAAGCTGACAGCTGAGACTGGCAGAGCCTACAGGGAACACGAAAAGACAGACGGCTTCAACAGACACGGTCTCATCCTCCCCGTCTTTATCCCCTGCGGGTGTCATGACTGAGCTGGGAACGACGCAAGTCCAACGTCCGTTTTTTCCTTACCAGCGTCAATCATTCCATGAATCTACAAGACTGTAAACAGCCTCACTGGGGGGTAGAGGGCAGAGTTGCTCTGGCACTTCGTGGGGCTCAAGAGGGCAGGAACCCCACCCTTCTCCACCCTGAACACAAGGCTTCCTGGTGAGGTCACTTTATATTGCTTCTAGATGTTTCCGGATGCTAATCTACAACCAAGCAATTCTCCAGGCCCACACTGGTGCACTGGTCAAAGTGACACTTTAGCGAATGGTTTAAATGCCAACGTGCTCTGCGCACACTGTTTTAACAGGAGGCAAGCGTGTGTACTGGTGGGTGCTGCTTCAGCCCTGACCTTCTCTCTGGCTTGCTGGCGAGGTGTGCGGAAGGGGCTCATGGGAGGGGCGCCAGGTCCAGCAGGATGCAGACGGCACCGTCCACTCCTGTGGTGGGAGCTGAGACAAGAAGCCAGGTCTTGAAGCAGCCCAGTCCTCTGAGGGCTTGAGTCCACAACAAGGACTGCACTGTGAGAGCAAGTTCGCGCGGCTCAGGGACCTGGGGGCATCACACCCAGCCTTCCAGGGTCTCCCCAAGAGACGCTGTCCCACTCACAAGACCCCTTGGGATCCGGAAAGGCGCAGGGACCAAAGGGGTCTGACTGCAGACGGCTGTGACATCTGCCACAAGTAGACTAAGTCAGCCTGCCTTCCCTGGAAGGATGGGGTTGCGGGGGTGTGCCAGGTGCTGCTGGGAAATGAGAAGCACCTAAGGTGGTCTGGGAACCTGCGGAGCTGTGAGCAAGATAGGGAGAGTCAGCCTGGCTGACTGAAGGAGACCTGGAGGTGCGACCTTAAGAACTAGAGTGGAAAGGGATGGCAGGCCAGAGAGAGCCAGCCACAGGACAGGCTCTGGGGGAGTCAGGAGCTTGGCAGAACCACCACCCCTAACTTCTGTCCCCTGTCTGCACTCCCTGAGCAAATGCCTGGCTACTGGAGCTGCATATGGCACGGGCGAGGGGACAGCTGAGTTTCAACGATTTCAGCTGATCACAGCCTGGGGTGGAGCGGAGCTCCCAAGAGGCGCAGACCCTGTGTGAGTCCTAAGAGGGGCCTGGCCAAGAAGCTCTGTGCAAACCCCCCACCTCCTGGAAGAAACAAGTTCAAATTGCTGGGGCCTCCTGCCACTGGACAATGGTTGCATCCCAGCAGAGACCCTGAAGCTGCCAGAGCCACAGAGAGCCCGTTAGCAGCCATGGCGTGCCCGCCTGCCTTTCTCCGTTCCCCTAAGCTTCTCCTGTCCAGGAGCGGCTGTGCTGGCTGTGGAAACTGCAGCAAGAGGAAGACATGACCTCTGTTTTCCAGCAACACACCCACGAGTGCACGGACAGCCAGGCCTATTGCAGTCACGTTCATGACACAGAAGACACACCCCTTATGGAAGAGAGAGGAGACAAAGGCTGCCGATCAAACTTTCCAGGTCGCTGCCTGGTCCTGTGCAGAGAAGTCAGAGTGAGTGAGTGAGTGAGTGAGTGTGTGTGTATGTGTGTGTGAGTGTGCAGCAGACGGGGGTGGCTCTGTCACAAGGAAGGAGCTACACAAAGCTAGGGCCTGACTGACAGCGTGGGGAGGAAGGTGAGGAGGGCTGGAGGAGGAAGAGGAGAGGAGAATGGGTGGAAGGTGAGCTGCTAAACACGGGACTCCGGGGTGACTGGCTGGGGACGCAAACAGAAACTGAACTAAGTGATAGCGCGGCAGGAGCCACCAGGTTGGACAAGGCGCTCTGAGGCTGTGCAGCTGCTCCGCTACAGCACGGGCACCTGGAAAGTACCTCTGAGGGCCAGGATGTGGGTGCGCTCATCCTGCACCCCCTTGGATCCCGAGGAACATGTCTACAGGGAGTGCTGGGCTCAAGACACTCCTGGCTATGGCTTCACAGCCGACCCCAGCCGCCTGCTGCACGCACGGCAGACCTCCTCCAACTGCTTCTTCCGAGGACAGGAGGGATCGAGGGTGCCCTGGGAGGCTGCACGAGAAGCCGGGCTGTAAGAGCGCTGGCTCCTCGGTGGTGGGGGCAGGGGACAGCCAGCAATGTGGGGCAGCACAGCACATTAACCTACCACCTGCAACGCCAGCATCCCACACTGGAATCCCAGTTCAAGTCCCAGCTGTTCTACTCAGGTGCAGGGAAGACTTCTCACTCCTTCTCTCTGTCACTCTGACTTTCAAATAAATAAAAGAAACAAATATATTTTTAAAGGAGTCCTGGTTCTTGGAGATGCTTCAACATTTAATTGCCTGGGCAAGACTGTGGTGTAGGATGTGGGGACCCCTGCCCCATGACAGGCAGGCAGCTTGGGGAGAGAGGCACGCCAGAACCAGGCACGGAAAGCTGGAGAAAGAGCCAGAGAAATATAGGGGAGGTGAGGAATAGAACGGCCCAGCACAGCTGCGAGGGAATAAAGACCCTTGGCTGGGCGCAGCCAGCCCTGAATGCCAGCTAAAAGGGTGACACTGGCTGAGAACAAAGCCACGATCCCAAACAGGATGGCACAAACATTTTTCAACTTCAACACCTCTAACAGGATGTGCTGAGAAAACCGGGGCTCATATTTTCATTTCTGGAAAAAAAAAAAGTTTTTAACTTGGGCATCAGCCACTCAGGGGACAAGCAGTTTATTTTCCTTTAATCACTTCAAGGGACCCCGATTCCCTGTCCCATACACACAGGGTTTTATTTCATCCAGCTTCTTCTCTAGGTCTAGAAATATCCTAGAACGCACAATCAGTAAGAAGAAACAGGTACGTGGCTTGTCTGCATTCTTTTACTAAAGAATCATCCAACTCTCCTGTCATTGCAAACAATTAAACAGGCAGCAGAAAACCGACAGTCCGAAGAGCCAGGGTGAGCCAACACACTCACCTCCCTCCTTCACCTGGCTTCTCAGTCCACCCCTCCGGAGAGAGCCGGTCCCTTCCTCCTCGAAGGGCTCTGTATACAGAGCAAGTCTGGGACGCGTCCCCTCTGCATCCAGAAGCGACAGGGAGAGCAGCCACCCTGGCTGCTGTGGATGGAGCACCTCTGACTCAGCCGTCTGGAGCCCCCGGCTTAGCAGCAGGAACTTGTCCTTCTTAGAACCGGCTGAGCTGCCATGTCCTCCACGCCAGGTGCGCAACTAGGTGCCTGGTACTGCCAGGATCCTATGTCCTCTGCCCCATCTTCCCCTAAGGGGCTGGTGGTGAAAGGGACAAGGGTGCCAGACCTCGCCAGAGGCCCTCTGTAAACCAGGCCTGAGAGTCAAGGACACATCTGAGGAGGAAGTGACGGGAGAACTGAGCCTACAAGATGCAAAAGGTCAGCTGCACCACAGTCGGAAGCGGAAACCCTGACAGAGGACACGTTTCAGAGTAAGGCAGGCAGGGCTGAGGCAGGAAAGTCTTGCACTACGTGTTTGGGTTGGAAAAGAACAGTCATCAAGTTCAAGAAGTCACGCTCCATGCACCTCAGATGATGACCTGCAAGCACGCAGCGTTGGAGGTACAGGTACAAACACCTAACACCTGTTCTGCAAAAAGAAAACTATGTTTTTAATGCCCTTTATTCTTAACACTGGTAGCTTTCCATGCCATAAACAGTCCAAACAGTCCCAACACCACATTCCCTGGACCTGGAGCTGGAGACGTGCTGCCAGCAGCTCTGGCAAGCACCGGCCAGCCAGCTCCACAGCCACTGGCCATGTATGACAACTACAGAGGGTTCGAGTCGGGGGGCCTGAGGACCTAGGCAGGGCAGGGGGTGCAGGAAGCTCAAGGGCCTTGGTAGATACCCAGCGGGACCCACAGCTTCGTTCCGAAGAGGTCCAGTAGGTGGAAAAGATGGGGGAGGGGGCATTCATGAAACCCAATGAGACAGAGCATGCAGACAGAGCTTCCAGAAACACTAACATTAAAAGGCTAAGATTCATTACAGTGTCAGCGCTGGGGGGGGGAAACTCAAAGAAGGAGAGACCTTCTTGGGACCCCAAGTCTATTCACAGACTAGTCTCCCAGCAACCTGAGAATTCACTCAATCACATCACCACATTTCTCTATTTCAGAGTTCATTTCTTGCAAGTATTTACAAAGCCAATTAGGCCCACTGCAAGACTGGAAGCTAAAGGAGATGGGGTTTGGGAAAGCATGGGAGGGTAGGTGACAGCAGGTGTCACACGGACATGGAGCTGGACAGGAAGCCTACGGGGCTCGTGGGGGAGTGAGGGACAGTGGTGGTTAAAGGAGGGGGCCTGGTAGGAAAGGACGCAAGGAGCAGACACAGGGGACAGAGGAACACCGAGGGGCTGTTCTTTCTTTTCTGGTTTTCACCTTGTGAGGCAAGCCAAACCCCAGGATCAAGGCCAGGTTCAAGCTCAGACCTTGGGGACTATGGTCATGGGGGGCGAGGGGAACGGGAAGAGGCAGCTTCTGGAGCCGTCCTGTTTGAAGGTGCCAGCCCACTGAGAAGCTCTATACTGAGTTCATGAGCGTCTTTCTAGAACGTTCTCTAGGAATGTCATTCCTGTAACCCTAGTTCACAGGAAGCGGGGAGCAAGCCCGCAGGCCAGCCGGCCAGCCCAGTGGCTGATTTTCACAGCAACGTATCACAGAGCTGGCTGTGAAACAGCGCTTTCACCAGCCCCTCCCCTCACCCACATGTCCTGCCCTCGCTGGACGTTTTTCTCTGCACTTCTCCTAAGGTCCAACGGCTTCCTGCTTCTCCAGGAAACAACTCCTAAGCTGACTTACTCCTCCTGGAAGCACTGTGTCTCCCCCATAATAAGCGGCCTGCTTCATTAAAGATCAACAGCGTTCTATCCTGCCAAAAACTGCCCCATAATCCTTCCCGTGGAGTTTACCGACTGGGACCTAGGAACTTCCTGTCTTAGAAAATCTGCTTACTTTCCAATCAATTCAGCACTGTCTCTAAGTTAGAGCTCAGCACTTCCTCAGAGACAGAACCACGCAGGACTCCAGGATCTGAGAAGAACCTGGCCATGATGTCCCCTACCACCCCCACCCCATGTTCCTGCTCACGGCTCAGAGCAGACCACCAACACCCCAAATCCGGAAGAGTACACTGGTCACAGAGGTTGGCAGAAAGAAACCAAGGGTGTCTAGTAGATGGGCTGGGCTTTGTGCTCAGCTAGTCCTAGAGATAAAATAATGGTGCCTTTTAAAATAAGGATACTTTGCTTATGAACACTTCTGATCTTTGAGGAATGTCCAAACGGATCAGATGCTTTTTTTAAAAAAAAATTTATTTTTATTGGAAAGTCAGATAATCAAAGAAAAGGAGAGATACAGAGAAAGATCTTTCATTCATTGATTCACCCCACCAAGTGGCCACAACTGCGGGAGCTGAGCCAATCCAAAGCCAGGAAGACAGGAGCTCTTCCAGGTCTCCCACTTGGGTGCAGGGTCCCAAGGCTTTGGGTCGTCCTCAACTGCTTTTCCCAGGGCATAAGCAGGGAGCTGGATGGGAAGCAGGTCAGCCAGGATATGAACCAGCACCCATATGGGATCCCTGCACTTGCAAGGCGAAGACCTTAGCCACTAGGCTACCATGCCCAGCCCCAAGGATCAGATTCTTTGAGGACGCTCTCTGGCCTCAGAACGTCAGCCCCTGCTACAGAACACACACAGAAAGCATCCAGCTGAGGGACCCAATGAAGGCCGCTGCTTCAAGTAAGAAAAACCCCACGGAACCACTCACCATCATCAGTACACTTAGGGGAGGGGGTGCCACTAGAGGGGATTCTATCGCATTCATTATCAAGTCCCTCCTCCTTAATTTTTTCTTTTTAAAGAAACATAAACAAACCTGGTACATACCATCAGTCTGAGATTTACTGAGGAATATCGTGCTGGCCCGGGGATGGTCTGAAGGATTGAATTCCATGTTCAAATCTTGAAAGAAAGAGAGAGAGAGAGAGTGTGAACAACCATCCAACAGGAAGAGCCACTGTCCATTTGCACCATTTTTAGCCATTTGCATCATTTTAGCTCACACATCAGTTGTTGGGTTAAAAGATTTCTTTTGGTGTCGGAAACTTCTAGCTTGATGTTGGAGAAAGTCATACCTAAAAAGCCAGATACTTGGCCGGAGACCTAAGCAGCCTAGAACTCCATGTCCAGTTGAAAAAGTCCACTCTACACAGGAGAACCTCCAAGTAACCAGACGGCGAGGGGAAGCCGCGTGCGGTGACGGACGCACCTCAACTCTGCAAGAAGCGAGCGGGCTTTCTTGTTCGAGAGGAGTATTCCAAATCAGCCTCCTCACACTCGGCTTCTCTGAAGTGGTCATTTTCTGAGAAGGCGAAACTGATCCTTAAGCAAAGCTTGTAAACTGGCCATGGGTGGCCTCATCAAGTCAGTAAGCAATAACCGAGGCCTTTTAAACACACACGCGTGCCAGCACCTCTTCAGAAGTCAGGTCATTTGGCAACACACCCCTCAGATGGACCCAGCCCCCAAGTCCTCAGTCCCCAGCCCCTCATTGCCTCCAAACGCTACCCCCTCCGGCCCCTGTCACCTCTGTGGGCCCTGGTGTAACTCCTGTCCAGGACAATTTTTATGAGACAGGTGCCTTGGTGTGGCATACGTCACTTAGCATTCTATCGAGAGAGTTTCTAGTAGCATTCTATAGGAGAGTTTCATAAATTTAATTTTAAAAGAGCAAGGGTCTATTAGAAGAGAATGGCTAAGCCAAACAGAATGGAGTTTGGGGAACAGGGGGAAGCAAGAAAGAGGATCAGCATTACTGGGGACATCAGAATGGTCTGCAAATCAGCTCACAGCACCAGAACCCAATTTTATTCAGAATTATTCCCACTGGCTCACAGAGACATCTTACCCAACGGCAACAGCGACAGACAGTGCCAGTCCTTGGCTCGAACAGCCGATCACAGCAGAGCAACGGGAGAGGAGGGCGGGGACAGCCACTGGCCTGCTGGGGGTAGCATCTGATCCGGCGAGGAGGGCCGCCCTCCCTGGCCGGCGGCTTAGAGAATGACCGTCCCCAGTTTCACCGAGTACTCCATCCAGAGCCCATCCACCCCCCTCCAGCTTCCATAGCATCTGAGGAGTCAGCCAGCGGGTAAAAGCTTTCTGACCATCTCTCCTGCTTTCTCCAAACAACTCAATAGCCAACTGTTCAAGCAAGTATTTTTAAAAGGAGAAGGAGAACGCTAACACTTGTGTCCTGAGGCAGGCAGCTTTTGGGAACCAGCTCTAGTACCCACCAACCACACCCTGAGGCTCTCTGTCACGCCATGTTGAGCCTGTCATTTCTATGCACACACTTCACGGTAAAACTCAAATTCAGTCATCAAAATCCCTTACCTGACCCATGTCAGCAGCTTATGGCTGAGGGGTTCCAACTTCAGTTCCTCCAGCTACAACCAAACCCGCTACTGACTTGGATTTAAGCCAGTGCCTTGGGTGAGCGGAAGCCTAGGAAATAATTTCTCTTCTTGGACACAAACTAACTTCTCCTGAGTATACAGTGATTGTTCGAGGTGACAAAGTAACTTACACTTGATACAGAGTGAGGGGTCACCTACTGGGGGGGGGAGGGGAGGGAATGTGCCTAGACAAAAACATAAGGGCACCAAGAACAGACTTACCCCTGCGGGCAGCACTGAGTAACAGAGGCAAATGAGGTGGCTATCACAGGGATCCCTCTAACATAGCAGACAGCGGTACGCCCACTTTCAAACACAGAGCCACCGAGAAGACACAAGGCACGCGGCACACGCTTGCTGCAAATGACAGACAGGTGCAACGGCAGAAAGAGGGCAGCCAGAGACTCCAGGACGGAATGATAAAAAGCGATCCTAGGTATTCCCAGAAAGACTGTCCCCAAGACACTGGGAGATGGCCTTCAAAAGATGCCTGGCATCACTGCCCAGCAATTGGCTGAGCTTCTTTGCCTGGCCTCACCTCAGGACATGGCAGAGCTCCTGGGGGCAGCCTCTGGTGCCCACAGCAGGCCAGGGGGAGGGGGCCCTGAGTGTGGAATTTCAGATGGAACCTGTCGCTTTCTCCATGTCTCCTGTATCCCAGCGGGCAGTTTGGCAGCTCACAACATGGGGGATGAGAGAGTTACAGAGCTTTTCTGCTTGTCTCTGCCCACTCTCTTCTCCCTCTGCCCTTCCTCCAGCAGGACTACTTTCTATTGTTCTCCAGGCTGATTCTGATTCCTCACTCAGTGGAGGGGCAGAGACAGAGCTCCCACACGCTTGATTCATGCCCTCAAAATGACCCAAAAGGCCAAATCCTGGAGCTACACTGAAAGCCAGGCACACACAATAGGTCTCTCCCGAACCCTTGTGCCTTCATCACTTCCTCCCAGGGTCTGTGTTGTCAGGAAGCTGGAGTCCTTGAACCCAGGCACTCCATCGTGAAATGTGGGCAGCTTAACTGGCATCTTTTTTTTTTTTTAACATTTTCTTATTTTTATTTGAAAGATTTACAGAGAAAAGAAGAGATCTTCTAGCTGCTGATTCACTCCTCAAAAGACTGCAATAGCCAGAGCTGAGCTGATCCAAAGCCAGGAGCTTCTTCCGCATCTCGCACACAGGGGCAGGGTCCCAAGGACTTGAGCCTTCCTCTAGTGCTTTCTCAGGTCACAAGCAGGGAGCTGGATCAGAAGTGGAGCAGCCAGGACACAGTTCAGTGCCATATGGGATGCTGACACACAAGGTGGAGGACTATCCTATTGAGCCACACTGCCAGTCCCTGGATTGGCATCTTGATAAATATTTGTTGCATGAAGAGTAAGATATGGAATATAGCCAATTCAATTTTCCCTTCTATAACTACTGTTCACACTTCAGAGTGTTTTACAAACTCTGAATGAGCTGGAATAAATACACTCTGAAAAGAGGTTGCCAACAAGGAAAAAGCTGTGGATCTTCCCACGCTGGCTATGGAAAAGGAAGGTAGCGTGTCCAAGGAACAGTTCACAGGTATGACACTGCCCCTGAGGTCACAGGTATGACTATGATGCTGTTCCCGAGGTCACAGGTATGATACAGCACCTGAAATCACAGGTACAAAATGGCTCCCGAGGTCACAGCTATGACACGGCACCTGAAGTCACTTGTATGACACAGCACCTAAGGTCACAGGTATAACTATGATGCTGCTCCTGAGCTCACAGGTATGATACGGCCCCAGAAGTCACAGGTATGAAACGGCTCCCAAGGTCACAGGTATGACACGGCACCTGAGGTGTCAACATTGCTGAGGGGTGCTGATTAGGGTTCTTGGGAAATTGACATTCCTAAAAACACAGGACGCTTCCTCTGCAGCACTCAAATGCAAATGCATAGAAGTTGCCCCTTCAGAAAAATACAAATACAACATACGCCATCATATGGAGAAGGTACTGTTTCCAAGGTTCTGCTAAAACATACAAATACAGCATGTCTCAGGGGTCATCTCCAACTCTAAGACAATTTTTTAAAGATTCAAAATCCTTTTTCTGTATTTATTTCTGTATTTATGACACTTTAGAGGCCTAATATAAGAGTTATGGGAGTCCCAGAAGGTGCAGAAAGAGAAACTGGTTTTACAAATATATTTAATGAAATCATAAGAGAAAATTTCCCTAATCTAGAGAAACAATTGGGAAACAAGATCCAGGATAGGCACAGAATTCCCAACAGGCTTGATCAAAAGTGATCTTCACCAAGACACATGATCATCAAGCTCTCTTCAATCAAACATTAGGAAAAGATCCTTAAATGTGCACGTGAAAAAAAAACTACTGACATATAAAGGAATGCCAAGTAAGCTCACAGGAGATCTCTCGCAGGAAACTACAATCAAGAAGAGAATGGAGTGACATATTCCAGATTCAAAAAGAAAACAATTGTCAGCCTAGGATAACATATTCAGCAAAGCTTTTTTTTTTTTTTTTTTGTCTTTGAAAATGAAATAAAATTCTTCCACCATAAAGAAAAGTTAAGAGTATGCCTCTTCCAAACCTGCCCTACAAATGATACTTCAAGATGTTCTCTTGACAGAGAAGAGGAATAGCACCCACCAAAACCAAAGGCAAATGTGAAGAGCATCCCAATAAAATGACAACAGAAGACTAAATAAATGAACAACCCTTTGCTAAAATGGCAGGACCAAATTACCACCTATTTGTATTAACCCTGATTGTGACGGGCTTAAACTCATCAATCAAAGGTCCTAAAAAACAAAATCCATCTATCTGTTGCCTACAGGAGGCACATTTCACTAACAAAAATTAGTGGAAACTATTTCTCATGGATTTTGATGTTTTGTTATTGTTAGCTTCATCTCTTCAAGAACACTTTCTTCTGATTAAATTCTCCAATGACTCATAAATCATACAGTAGGTTCAAGAAGGTTCTTATTTTCCTTTACATTTCTTCAGCGACACATTAGTTCTTCAACAGCATGTTATTTAACTTCATGGTGTTGTTAATTTCTTTTTTCTTCTTGTTGTTGATTCTGTTTGTGACTTTTCATTTAAGGGGATGTGTAGTAGCTGTGTAATGGAGACTCTTGTGTCTAGTAGCATGTTACTTTATTTCATGCCATGGCAAATTTCTATTTTTCTTTCTATTGTTGATTTTGTATTGTGGCTTTTCATTGAAGGGGATGTACAGCAACTGTGAAATGGAGACCAACATATTCAGATGTGAGGATACAATGCAATATGCATCTCTACTTCCAGACTAAAGACGGACTCCTGATGAAACTGTTTACTATATCTTGACGATAGGAATGCCGGACTCTCTGCCATTGTCCATGCCCACAATAATGGACATATGACTGTGTATGAACAACTATACTTTAGTAATGATATAGAGGAACTCAGTGTGTGTGTGGGGGGGGAATTGGGGATGGGAATAAGGGAAATCGCAGGG